TTTTATTAATTTATCCTGACTTAATTTATTTGACTGGTTGTAATCCCTAATTCCTATCTTCCATTGTGTTTTTCTCTCGCTCTCGTCATCTCTGCAAGTCTTTTATGTCAGTGACAGGTTCTTAATCTTCTAATCATGATCTTCATTTGTAAATTCATTCCTATGCGTCCCATCTCAGTCATCTTCTTTCTTAAATTCTTGTAATGGTATTATGTCAATGTTTTATGCAAAGATTTGAAAGTATCTTTAAGGTTGGAGTTTTTTCCCAGTAAATAGTGAAAGAAGCGGGATTTAAGGCCCAAGACAAAGGTTGCACAACATTTCATTGGCGCATGCTGTGGAGAAAATGTAGCCATTTGTTTGTCTGTGGTTGCTCTTCCATTTCTACGAGTTGTCAGGACAATCAGATCTGATTTTTGACATGAGCTCTTTCTAATGATTCTAAGGAATTGTTGCCCAAAAAAGAAATTAATCACTGTTTTCCGATGAAGAAGACGATCAGAATTTTAAGGAAACAGTTATAGATTTGATGAAAGAAAGTGATCGAAATAGGATGATTTTCAAATGAATGATTAGCGGTCAAACGACACATAACAAATAGGAAATACCTGGCTTTGAGAGAGACGAAGAGAGCAGACAAGACAAGGGATTAGGGATTGTTATGAATAGAATCACAAAATTGCCTATATATCAAATTATACAGTCTGATGTGGAATGAATTTCATTAAATTTAATAGATATTTTATCAGCTAGGGGTTGATAATCAAATTTGAAAGTTGAGAATGTGATTTTTAAACTTTTAAAGGTGAGGGAGATTGTATGTATCAAGTTGAGTGGAGTTTTGTATATTTTGACCAATTTTTAACCACCCATACCAACTCGTGAAAGTTAATTTCCATAGATAAATATTTGAGTTTTGATACACCAAGAGCATTTTCAGCTAAGACTAGTGTCTCTAGGAGTTGCTTTTTAATAATATTAAATCAATATCTGGTAAGGTTGCAGTATTCATTCAAAACGTTGTCCTTCTTAAAATAAAATAAAAAGGTTTTACGAGTTATAGCACGTTAAACCGTCATGTGCGACTCGGTGTGATTGCGTGCATTAGTATTAGCATTCAGTTATTCACAATTAATCACATTCTTTTTTTTTTATAAGTTTTTGTCAAACCAAATTTAAAAATAATGGTCCCAATAAAAAGGAACACGGTGTGTCAAGTTTAGAGGAGGCCAGTTGCAAGTTACAACCGATACATATTGGCTTTATATGTTGTAACTTTAGTGCCTATTCCTTTAATTCCAATATATATATATATATATATATATTAACTTATATTTAAGAGTGCAGCTTGCCTTATTTCCAACTAAAATCCCCCACGCGAACATCCCATCCTGTGTTTATTAAAAAATGATAGCTATATTCATTAAATTATTAAAAATATGTAACTTTTTGAGTTTACTCTTCTTTGCAATTAATAATCATATTAAATTACCGTGTAAGAATTCAAACCAAGATAAATAAACAAGAGATAAAATGTAAAAAAATATTAATTAAATTAACTTTGTCTTATATTAATGACCAAGAAAAAGCTCTCAAAATTTGTCTTATATTGAGCAAAAAAACGCATTAGATAACAGTTCATTTTAGATAATGATCAAAATAATAAATAAAATTTCCCCTCTCAAGTTATAAATAACTTTTAACTAATCTACTAAAACTAACAAAGTTTGTTTTGTTGATGTTGTTAAAATTACCTCATACTATTTCCAATACTATTTCCCTTGATTAATTAATTACAAAATTCAAAACAAATTTTACTCCATTCTCTTGATCACTCTCTCCACCATAAACAAACTTATTAATCCAAATTGCTTCATAAATTTTGCAAAGTCACTTATAAATAAGGCTATAAAAAATTCCCGAAAATGACCAGTAAACAGAATTAGAGGGAGTACTTCAATAATATCCAACGTATTAAAAAAAAGAAACGAAATTCTAAGACCAGTTAAATAGAGGACTACCTGAAATTAAAGCTTCGTTGAAATGTATAAAAAATATTATTAGAAATCATAAATATTTTTTTATACAAATAATAAATCTTTTATTATATATCATTATTTCTTTAATGTTTGTCATTGGTTATATAACAAAATTTTTAATTAGTTGTCTATTATTACACTGCCTTCACCCCTATTTTTTGAAAACAAGTTGTAGTTTCGGACAAGTGTTAAAAAAGGATGGTCCAAGGGTAAGTGATACAATTGTGATTGAATGATAATCTAATTTAATTAAAATATTCTAAAATATTCACATATGACCCTAAAAAAGTAATATTTAAATAAAAAAAATTTATTTACAAATAAATAAACAATTTATGCATAAACCCCATATAATATAACAAAATAGGGTTATTAGAGCACAAATACAACTCAAAACAATGTTGTTTCGTGTCTGGTAAGCAGAGAAAATATAAAACCTAATCCGGTCAAAATAACCAGTCTAAAACTCTTGACTTGACCAAACAAGAAGGGACTGGTTTAATGGGTTAACTGTCTGGAATTCTAGTTAGCTTTTAATATCACCATGCCCGGAGATTATATATATGGATGCATGGATAGGTACACAAAAGTTTTCATGAATTAAATTTCAGAAGACCATTAATTAGGAGTAAAATAAACCTTACAATTCAAAAAGAATCTATAAATTTACTTGCAAATTATGTGCTAATTAATAAGATTTTCACATTGATCAATCAATGCCACTATCAGAGGCAGAGCCAGAATTTTAAATTAAATTACAAAGCACGTACATTAATTGAAGGAAAGTTACATATATAATTAACATAACATAAATATTTCACCATGTTCATATTCAATTTTACAAATATATAATTAAACAAAGACGTACAATTATTTTTAATGTCTTGCTCGTCTATCCTTTGTGGCAAAAAAATCCTCAATAAATAAGAATTAGACTTTTCAACATTTACAAATTAAAATTTGACATATTCTATTCATAGTATACAAGTTCAGGAAATTAGGACTTTTGGACACATCAAGTTCATAATGTTTAACTCTTTTTTATAAAAAAATGTTTAATTCATATTCTAATTAAATCTTTTTTTATTTAAAAACCTTGAAGAGTAAAATTCCTCAACAAGATTGCATATATTCTGAGCATTGAATGATTTAAAATCATTCTTAAAATTCATTGTGCTCAATTTAAAAAATTAGGTTGCTTGCTCAGTAAATGTATTATTTAATTCATTAATTGATAATTTATAACAGTAGTAAATATATTAACATGATAATGATGATTAGCAGTCAAAGAAAATAGATCTCATATTTGGCATCTATTTTCTTTGGGCAAAAATAAAATCTCTTTTGAAATATCTTTGTGTTTAATAATTAAGTAAAGTTATATTTTGTTACGCTGAAACTATACAACGCATTTATTAGAAAGAGTTCAAAAAGTCATGAGGGGCTGTGACTATCCTGATCCCCTCGTCTCCGTTCATTATAAAACATGGATTACATACTTAACAATGGGACCAATTTTATTTGCAAGTTGTATACATTTTAGTTTCAATTTCCAATTTCAGTTAATCAATCATAAATTAAGAAGCCGTAAGTTCCCTAATTTCACCAGTTTCCCCGCTTGCTCTTTCTTTCCTGCATTCGACGGTCTGGGTACGAAGGAAGATGAGTATTTCAATGAAGGAGAAGGATTTGTGAACAGATCTAGCTTCTGTACGTGTTCCGATAATGAAGCCGTGAATTACTGGGTGGAAAAAAAAAATGGAATTGAACTCTGCAGCAGAGGAGATTGGCAGAAAGTCCCGAAACCCTACAGAACTGATGGCTTCACAAGTCCACATTACTGTGCTGAAGCTTCAATAAAATTCAAGCAGGTGCCGGGCAAGTGATTCAAGAATGATACAAAAATCCTTAATAATAGTACGGAATTGATGAAATGATATTTTCGGTTCACCAATGACTGCCCCACACTAGATTATCCATATATCAATCATCTAGATTATGATGTATATACTTGTGGTATTGGAGCGTGGCACGTCTTGTCATCTTTGAAATCTAGGCAAGCCAGCCAGCCGGCTTTTGTTGATTGATAATAAGAAGACGAAGAGGAATCGAAGTGGCTCAAATATACTGGATTTAATCGCTCGTTTTCCACAAATCTACATTGGTCGGTGAACTAACTTTATAATTAACTCACGCGAAGCTGTTAATTGTTACAAGTTTGGAATTGTTTCAATAATTAAAATGTAGCATTAGAGAGTTTAATTTGAAGTGGTGGTTTGTTTGGACCACACCACTGAGAGGCTGATAACTCTTGTTTGGAAAGTATCGATTAAGTAGCGTGAGGCACGTTTTAGCTGTGAACGCCCGCTTCATAAATATTGTCAAAAAGTTTACGAAAGCTCCACTGACTCTCTGCATTTCATATTCACAAACATCGCTATTAAAGTTCACTCTAAAACGAGGGCCGAACCAGCCCTAAGTCGGGGGGCCAGTTTTCGAAAATTGACACTTCAGAAAAAAAATGATATGTTTTACACACTCAAACTAATCTTAATTAATCTTCTATGCAAATTAAATAATAAAGAATAAATATGTACAAATGCTCTAACTTGTATAATAATTGGCATGTCTTCCAAATAACTTATTTTAAAAAATAACATGTATGATATAAATATTAACTACTAATTTTATTTTCAGAAGTAAAGATCTAATATATAACCAAAGTATTTCAATTTATTTCTTGTAAACTATATCAATACAAAATTAAATGAAAATTTATGAATATCGGAGATGATGGGTGATGGAGGAACATAATTCTGCCATTATATATAGAATTGGAATGGGAGTTGGGCCATAGCTTTTAACAAAAACACACACACACACACACACTGTTCGCGCGCGCGCGCACAAACTAATACCCAGTTAACTTCCACACACACACACACACACACAGATGGTGAGAACCCATGCAGCAACAAAAATGGCCTCAGGAGAGGAACATGGACTCCAGAAGAAGACATGAAGTTGGTTGCTTATATTACTAGGTATGGCTGTTGGAATTGGCGACTACTCCCCAAGTTTGCTGGTAATTAATTATTCGAACATCACTAATTATTTGACTTCTACATATATCTCACTCAATCCCACCCTGCTCTTACCACCTGAGCTAGCATGCAGGTGGCGTCATCAACTTTTAATTTAACCTTCATTTGCTGTTCTTGGGATCGGTTTGCTGAATTTCGATATTAATTCATCCATATTGGTCTTGTTGCTTCAACCACATATTGACAATGAATTCTGGTTTTTCAGGATTGGCAAGGTGTGGAAAGAGTTGCAGGCTTCGGTGGATGAACTACTTAAGACCAGACATCAAAAGAGGGAATTACACTCCCCTAGAAGACGACACTATCATCACACTTCACCAAAAGCTGGGTAACAAGTATGTTATATACATTGCCCTTACTACATTTGACTTAAGCAATTAGCTTCGATCAGTATTTCTCTACACTGCACTTGTTTCTAGCCTAGAAAGCCAACCCTGTACCCCATTGAGCCGCGAGGACAATTAATTACTACTCATGATTATAGGGTTGGATTTTAATCCAGACTATAGCCCTAACCAAATACATAGACGATATAACAAATACTAAACGAAGGTTAAAATACATAAAATTCTGTTGAACTTTGAGACAGTTGTATATAATCCTTCTCACCTTTAAAAATTTAAAATTAACCCCCTAACCTTTATTTTTATTTTGCAAAACCCCTTGTTGTTAATTATATCATTTTTTTATGAGGGTTAAAATGTCATTCAACTAAAAAGTAGCATTAAACAAAAATATTATATTGTATAACTATTTATAATAATTTTTTTTATATTTTTTGGATAGTTGAGGCATTAATAATAGTCAAAACAAATGTAATCATCACCATATAAAATTTTAAATATTTACTTTTGTATTATTTTTTATACTTTTTTGTTATCAATGGTGCATAGTTTTCTAGTATTAAAAGATAAATTAATCTAACATGAAAATATTTAAAATTTTAAATATTTTAGCCATGTGTATTACATTAATCTAACATGAAAATATAAATAAAAATTTATTTTTTAAAATAATAAAATCATGCACCATTGATAACAAAAAAATGGATAAAACTAATATAAATATAAATATTTAAAATTTTATACAATGACAATAACATTTTTTTTATCGATGCCTCAACTATCTAAAAAATATAAAAAATATTATAAATAGTCATACAATATAATTTTTTTGTTTAATAATATTTTTTAGTTGAATGATATTTTAATCATCATGAAAAATATTACATAGTTAACAATAGAGGGTTTTGAAAAATAAAATTAAAGACTATCGGGGTTAATTTTAAACTTTTAAAAATGAGGGGGGTTGCATATAACTGTCTCAAAATTTAGAAGTGTTTTATATATTTTAGTCTTAAACAAATTATTGTTACAACATTTCCAAATAATTAAGTTGCGGAAGAATATAATATGATAACAACGCAGCAACTTTAGCCCATATATATATATATATATATAAAGCAAAATAACTAAAATTTGTAATTTTAAAGAAAATACTTTAAGCCTAAAAGTTTGTCATTTAATTCACAAAACATGCAAAATAACTAAAATTTAAATTATTGAGAGTTTAACATTACGACGATTAAAAAAAACCTTGATATCTATTTATATATGTGTGGATCTCGCATCACGGCCCGTGGGACACATCACCTATATATGTTCCTGACGTACTCCTATTTCTCCTTACGTAATTTTCCAAGATCTAATTTATGTAAGCTATAATCCATACAGAACATTGTAGTGTATGTAGATTTGTAATGTGTTCTCAACATAATTAGTACCAAATTGCGATTGATTAATTACTATAGACTTTAAATTGCACTGTAAAAACTTGTTTAAGCCCTTTAGTACCATGTCTTGGTCCTCGGGATTGATAATCCCTTTAGTTTTCCGGATACATGCATCTTCCTCGATCTGAACACTAACTTTTTGTTTCGATGTGGAGAAAAATATAGAAGACAGAAAACTGGGGGGAAACTCCTAAAAATAAGGCTAAAGTTAAAAAATTGTTGAATTTTTAAACAAAATTAATAAGATTCAATGTTTTTTGAAGCTTCAGTAAAAATGTTAGAAATAATTTATAAACAGGATTTGAAAGAGTATCATCATTCATCACTGTGCTGAAAGGTTACAGGTCATTCTCAACAAGCCCAAACTATTTCTAGAGCTGTATAGGGTCATTTTTAACGTTTTGAAAGCATAAATTAAAACGACTAGGACGTATTTTTGGCTGCCAAATGGGCTAAGACAATTAGGATCCTGTCAAATATTTTTCCAGATATAGATGGTTATCTCTTGCATCAAACAGTAAAACCTACTGGGTAACTATGTTTATACTGGCAATGAAGTATATTTGTAGCCCTACATACTGAGATAAATTCTTCGTCTTGATTAACTACAGTTTTATATATATAGGAGATAACTAAGGACCACACTCTATAAATTCGAATTTCAAATAATAGATACATAAAAACTTATATATGGAACATAATTTTAAATATCGGAAGGGCGGGGACATGTGTGGCTGTTTATGGCCCTTTTTGAATTGTAGGTGGTCAAAGATTGCTGCTTGTTTACCGGGAAGAACTGATAACGAAATAAAAAACCACTGGCACACCAATCTCAAGAAGAGAGCTCAAGGAAACTCAGCTGGACATGAAAAGGATAAAGCCTTCAAGTCAAAGGATCAAATTCCACTTGAATCGAGCCCAGAGATCTGCGACTCATCAATCACAATATGTACTACAACTGCTCCTTCTTCACAGTGTGATACATCAGCAGGCGAGTCCCAGATCTCAAGTACTTTCCCAGTGCAGCTCACTGATCATGCCGGTGGTTTCAGCAGTAATAATGAAAATTTGGTCGGGGAAGATTGTCATAACTTGGCTACTCCGGATGCGTTCGTTGAGACTATGAGTGAAAATTTTTGGACAGAGCCGTACATGGTTGACGTTTCCTACGTCCCCAATGAAGAATTTTTACCGTTGTCCCCTGAATATGAGTACAATGCACAGCTTTGGGAACACAGTGGCTCGCATGACGAATATATTGACTTATCTTGACGAAGGCATCTTAAGGGGAATGGAGAAATCTACCCAATCGACATGTATGTATGTATTTTCGCCTGGGGTGCGTACGTAATTTTCGTATCATGTAACGCCGTAATCTCCCCTCGCCCCCTCCCCTTTAAATTAATTCTCCTTTTTCCTGGTGATGTGATGTGAATATTGTGTTGATTTCCGTAATGTAAATTTTAAGTTATAATTTAATTAATTAAACCCACGTATCTATATTGTGTAGTACTATGTTTGTGGTTGCTAATGAATATTATACCCAATAAAGTTAAGGAGAAATGATAATAAAATTTCTCTGAAATGTATAAATGACAATTTGATTTTTTGAAATTTCATAATTCTCCTGAATTCTTTAGAGATTTTTATATGATTAAAGAATTTATATAAATTATTAAATTGTTCTTGTTGAAAATATATTGTTCACAAGTTTTATTTAAATATTCATAATTTTCTTTCTTATATTCAAAAAATGCAACAACAAATAAAATAATTTGCCTTGAACAAGAGAATTTTCCTTGAAATCAAGAATTGTAAGGTTGAGAAACATCAGCATTCCCTCTAAAATTCATGTTTGAACCATCTCTCCATCCTCCACCATAATTATTTGAATATCTATCATAGTTTTGATTTCCTTGGAATGGAGGTAAGCCTCAGTTTTGCTACACTCTAGCCACATCTTGAGATACAAATCTATGTCCACAAACATCATATATATGAAGTTGAGAACCACAGTGGAAGCAAGATGGTGCAGCAAGTTGTAGGTTCATTGGGGGCGGCACCATTGCTTGATTCACTTGTGGTGCTTAAGTACTTAAAAGTCTCTCTATTTGCTTGCTTAAAATTGATTGTGTGGTTATGAGGTTGGCAATCTAAGAAGCAAGTTCTTAAGAGTCATAGAAAGATGAGTGAGATACTTCATTAACACTTCTTAAATTGCTTTGAGTACCAAACTTTTAGGCACTAGTAGCCATTTTCTCTCCAATAAAGTTAAGGAAAATGACAACAAAATTCTTCTTAAATGTTAAATGATAATTTGGTCTCTTAAAATATCATAATTATCCTCAAATCCTTAGAGATTTTTTTATGATTAATGAATTTATATAAATTATCAAATTGCCCTTGTTGAAAATAAATGGTTCACAAATTTTATTTAAATATTCATAACTTTATTTCTTATATTCACAACAATACAATAACAAATCACAACTTTGCATGTAACTCCTTATTTGTTGTTGCATTATTGCAAATATAAGAAAAAAAATTATGAATGGTTAAACAAAACTTGTGAACTATTTATTTTCAACAAGAGCAATTCAGTAATTTATATAAATTCATTGATGATAGAAAAGTTCATAGGAACTTTAGAAAAATTATAACATTTCGAAAGACCAGATTGTCATTTATACATTTTAGATGAATTTTATTGTCATTTTCTCTAAAGTTAATGAGTTTGCTATACATTTTCAAGGATTTAAATCCTCTAACATATTTTCATTGATTTATGTGAAGTTTGTTTTTTTAAAAGGAGGAAAAATTTTATGATTTATAAAAAGGGTTAATGAAAATCATAAATCTTAAACTATTATGCGAGTAGCATTCTAAATTTTAAACTCTTGAAATGAAAAAAACTCCATTCAACTTTTAAATTTTGAGCAAATAACCTGCCATTAAGTTATAGATAGTCGTTGTTACTTTTCACTTTATGAGATCCATTCAAATGCTAACGTGACAGTCATCCCTCCTCACCCTTGCTGATGTAGCAGTCTCCTCCTTCAAATCCTTCTCCAATGCCTCTTCTCTTTCAGATTGTTGCAACGACAATATCGCCCATTCATCCCACCTTCTTTGGGTTGGGCAAGGGACGATGAAGGAGAAGCACTGGGGTCAATCTTAGGTGGGGTCGAATAAGAGAGAAGCTTGTGATCGTCGCCGGCATGCACTTCGACTTGCAACTCTGAGCTTCCAACCCCATCTTCAATCCCTAATCTCGAGAATCATTGAAGAAGAAGATCGTCTCCTTGCTGCATCTCCAAATCCTTAATCTCCAAAATCCCATCTTCGATCGAACTAGCACAAGGTGATTCACACAGTTCTCACAGCTTCGCTTCTTCACGGCGATTCGATAAGCTAAGCTTGATTCCCTTGCCTTACGATTATCCAACACAACTTTTTCCGCAATCTCTCTCTTGCCTTGAGCTCTGTGTGTGTGTGTGTGTGTGTGTGTGTGATTTCTAGTCAGATGATTTTTGAAGTTCCATGATTTCCTGTAGCTACTAATAAATTGGATCTGGTTTATTGTGTTTTGTTCATGTTCATTCAATTCAATGACTTGATTTTGCATTCATTATGATTCGAAATTTTGTCCTAGCTTTTCTGGAAGATTTTTTGTTTTGGTTTTCTGGTAATGGTTGATGAAGGTGGAGAAGGGAGCAATTTAGATTTTTTTTTTTTTTGGGCTTCTTGCAATTTAGATTGTGAACTTTCGAGTTAGTATTAATGAATTAGAGATTAAATTTAATTTATTAATGGGTATAGCATAAATTAATGGAAGAAAAAGCCAAAAAGGTGAAGTAAAAATTTTTTTAGGTATAAACCATCTGATATCCTAGAGTATTTTGAGTTTATTGCCCGCCTAAAACTAATCTGGATCCTCCATGAGGAGACCTTATGATGGTAGCAAGATATTGATGAGACAATCTCTTTAAGATCATGTTAATTATCGTGTCTGTCAGAAGAGTTCACCCTACATGTTGGTTATGAAATTAGGAGAAAGAGCTTACTGCTAAAGTCCAAACCCAGGGAAAAAGTGAAATGGGCCTAGGCCCGTTTGATCCAAGTAAACTGTCCACAATAGCTAGCTCCTTTGTCGGCCGCTAGATCAGACCAACGGTATAGATTGAGGGTGGGGAAAAAGTACGGAAGCAGCAAGGAGAGTAACTGGGGATGTGGGAAAGCATTTCCCAATTAATCTCTAGATGAACTCCAAACACGACAACTTCATTGAAATATTCAGGATATAATTGTTTTGTACTCATATATCTCTATATTTTTATCATATCAATATTAGTTAAAAGATAGTTTATTAGTCCTTATGGTTTCATTTACAACAATATTTAAATGGTCTTTATATTCTAAAACTTTTCAAAAAGAATATCTGTCCATGAACAAATGTTTGGGATGAAATTATATGGTCAACACCATACCGTCCTGTGCTGATAGTCATCTTCGTTCGTGGTGTCAAGTTTAGTAATTTAAAGTGAGTCTTAAATGAGTTTTATTGTTGGGTGAATATCAATGAAGGACCTCCATAAAAAAATTTAATACCTGATGAGAATCTAGATGAACCAGATGCTTGTCAAACCAAAAACTTCATTTCTTAATTCTTATTTGTTAATTCCTTTTATGAAATTAAACTATTTTTAAGATTGTTTACTGATGTTCTCCCTTTATTAATTGTTTATGATTCATAAATAACTTAACTTTATATTTTGCCTCCTCTATAAAAATGGGCCACTCTGAGGATCCATTGCCTGCTGATAAATTGGTCAACTAGTGGGGGGAAGTGGAAGCGAGGAGAGAACTCAAAATTAGGGCTGTACAGTACATTGGATAGCGGTTAGAATCGGTCAAGCTTCTGTTGGACCGTCAGCGATCTAGCCTGATTAGAGAGCGGCCAGGCTCAAAACTCAAAAATTTATTTAAAAGACGATAAAATTATGGGCTTATAATGCTAGTCCTTCCATTCGCGTGTTATTTGATAGTCATTTTATTGATTATGAAATTATTCATTATTAACAATTAAACTGATTATTCATTATTATTTAATTTAAAATGTTTTAAAAATTTAAAAATATTAAAATTAAAGAATATATTTTTTTAATTAAATACATGTGTAAATTACTTTTTAACAATTAAAAGATTAATAATCATCTTTTCATTCCAACAAATTTTATTTTCGTTCAACAGAACACGCATATAAAGTAGTAAAAGATCCAATCAAAATAACAACACAACAACAACAAATTTTCTCTAATTCTACTTTAGAACTTTTTTATTCTAAGGAATAGAGAATATATAGAGGATGGTTAATTGTATAACTAATATATGGATATTTTAGCAATTAAAATATAATTAAAACTTTTTTATTTATTTTAAGTAATAGAGAATACATAGAAGATGGTTAATTCTATAACTAATATATGGATATTTTAGTAATTAAAATATAATCAAATTTTTTTTACAATCTGAACTATTTATAATAATAGTCTTCTCAACTTGTATGTATGAATTGGTTATTTTAAACTGAGTGAAGTATGTGTTTTAAGTTCTCATAGAGAATTAACTAATTTTAGACTACATATATAAAAATCATTAAGAACGGCATGAGAGCACCAGTAAAATTGCAATATCATATTTTTATCAATAAATTGGAATTGTTTAACTTAATATAGAAATCATATGGCTAACTAGTGCGTATCTCAACAAGTGAAGAACTGTGATATCTTAATTAGTAATCTCGAGTTTGAACTCAGATCATGCAACTATGTTAAATATTCATTGAAAATGCTTTGTTCTCCTTTTGATTCTTCTTGGTTAATTCGACTTGAACTAATGGAAGTTCACCATGGCTACCAGATACTAGATTTCTACCTCCACTAAAAAAATTCTGGGAAATCATCGTGTGCTTGATGTTAATGTACTACATATATATTGTGATTATGATAATCAGACACCGTGTTTATATATATAATCCTTCTGATTTTTTAGTGATCGATGCACGGGTGACAGTGTTAGATCGAAGCATTTAAAACAAGGCAAATTTAAACCGATGGATATAATATTGTGCTCAAGCATTAGGCTTCAAGTCGAAGTCCGTGTAAACGCAAAATACCTTTTAATGAGAGTTACTTCGGTTTGGGTTAAGTAATTTATATTCGATTCGAATATCAGATGTTGTGGCTTGTGGGTGTGTGGAGACACAGCAAATTTAGACAACGGTTCCCACTTGACGGCCCAAAAGGTACGAAAACGGCGTCAGCATTTCAGTTAAAATTACACAGGCACTTTTGAGGTGCCTATGAGACTGTTGTTTGTAATAATAATCTTACACAGTGAGGGGTTTAAGGGAGGGGTTTAAATTAGTCTAAGCGAGAAATGGTAATATCCCAAGATTTCTCAAAACACCGAGCGGTGGAATAACAGAAAATATAAATATTAAGTATTATTTTAAGTTTAATTAGAAGTGAAGATTTAATATATAACCAAAGTATTTTAATTTATTTATAGTTAAATATATCAATACAAAATTATGTAAAAATAGTGCAGGGGATATATAAATAATGGAGATGATTGGGGTTTCAGGAACATACTTGTGCTATCTTTCTATATTATAGGCTAAAATTTATATTTAGTCCTCTAATTTTATATAAAATTTTAATTCAATCTTTTAATTTTATAAAGTATATTTTTAATCTTCTAACTTTAACACTATTATTTTTATATTAATCATTAAAAATTAAACTAAATATGTATCAACATTTGAAAAAAAATTTTGTCAACATTTAAAATTTCAATAAAATCAAATTTTATATAAAGTTACATCACTGAATTTAGACCAACAAGCAAGCTTTCATTATTTCACTACACTGCACTTTCCTAGTCCAAAGCAAAAGCAACCCTACACCGAATCACTTGAGATAATAATTCATCACGCATTCCCATGACTCATGATTCAAGGGTTGGGTTTTAATCCAGACTGTATCCCTGACCAAATGTACAGACGATATAAAACAAATGTTAAGCAGATGTACCGTTGTCGCCTGAACACGAGCACAATGCACAACTTTGGGAACACAGTGGTTTTGTACAGCGAATGTATTGACTTATTTTGACGAAGGCACTTTATGGTGAACGGAGAAATCTCCCAATGTGAGCGTGTATTTTCCCGAGAAAATTACAATGAGATCTCACATATCAAATTTAAATACTTTTAGGTCTTATAAATAAGCCAAATTATTATGAAGCCTCATCATTTTTAGAGGTGATTAATTTTGGAAGTAAAAGGAATAAATTGCCCTTGGCTGATTTAAAGAGAAAAAACAAAGAAAAGAGAAAGCAAAAACCATCTCAGTTGTTGTTGCCTCTATCATGCGTGAAAATCAGTCTTTTTTCTTTTTTCTTCTTTTTTTTCCCTTTTAATAAGTCAAGGAAAAATGAATTTTTTTAGTTTTAATATTATTTACCCTAAAGACCATGGAACTTCATAGTAATTTAGCTTATTCATGAGGTCTAAGAGTATTTAAGTTTGATGTGTGGAACTTCATTATAATTTTTCCTATTTCCCCGTGGATATCATATTCATGTAATGCTGTGATCTCCCCCCTCCCCATTTTCCTTTTTTCCTCTGATCAAGTGTGATATCTATATGTTGAGCTCCGCAATGTAAATTGGAAGGTGTACGTAATTTTATAAGCCGATCGAAAAGGTAGCTGGGAATGCTATATGTATTATAATCAATTAAAGACCCCACAAATTTCAAAAGTTTTCGCATATGCGTTATTTTAGATTCAAGATAAAAGCGCCAATTCTTGTCAACAGATTAATTCAGCCGCGAAGTGATGGCCTTGATTGGAGGCGCAATTTTTTTTTAAAGGAAAATTGCAAATAGGTCCTGTACAGTATATTTATTTATAAATAAGTCCTACAAAATTTAAAAATTACAGTCAAATTACTTAAGACTTGAGTGTAATCTATGATTAGGGTATAAAAACAATACTAACCTCATTAATTTGGATTTTATTTACAATCATAAATTCACAATTTACAAATAAAGCTTCATAATTTATAAGTCAGATTTTTTTTAACACTTGATATAGTATAGAGTCTTTATAAAGTTAATTATGTTTTTTAAAGCTATAATGACATGGTGAATCATGAATTTTACATCTCAATTAGACCAATTATAGCTTTAAGTAGATATAATTAACTTCATAGAGACTTCATATTATATGAAGTGTTAAACAAAAAATTTGATTTGTAAATAATGAAAATTTACTTGTAAATTATAAAATTGTAGTTGTAAATAAAAGCAAAATTAACAGGGGCAGTATTGTCCTTATATCCCAACTACAAATTACAAGTCTCATAGGATTTGCTGTAGTTTTTAAATTTTACAAGACTTATTTATAAATAAATCTAATGTATGGACCCTTTTTTAAAAACAATTGAATAATTTAAAAATTAACTATTTATAATTATTATATTCTTGGACTTTGAGCTAAAAATTTGAAAATTTTGGATGTAGATTAAGAAAAAGAAGCAAATAGATTTGGTGCTCAAAATATTAAAAAGAGGGTCCAAAATGCATAAAATCCAATAACCACAATTTGTAATTTTTTTCAAGTGAGGAGTGCCAGTGTCCCCTTTTCTTGTGTGTGGCTCAGCCATTGGATTCAATAGTGATCGTTTTGTCTGACCAATAAGGTTATAAATTAAAAATTGATAAAAAAAATGAGGTTAAAAATTAAAAAAAAAATCTCTATTTCAAAATATAGATTAAGAATCAAGAAATATAGTTGTTAACACATAAAAATATCGAACACATTGTCATATTTATCTCTAAAGATTAAATCTCTAAAGATTAATCAATGGTGCTGTGAAAGTTGTTGGAGTAAATAATGGTACAATATGAAAAGTGTAAATAAATGCTAGTATGCTACTCCTATTTATAAGGTAGAGAAAGAGAGAAATTTGATCCTATTTATATGACATTTGTCAATTTTCAATATTTCTTTTTATATTTTTACTTTTATTAAATGTTTTTAATACAAATATTAATAATAAAATTTAAGAATATTTATTAAGATTAAAGGTAGTACTTTAGACTTGGAGCTAAAAAGACATAAAATAAAATATTTTTCCCCCAAACGACTTATATTTTGAAATGGGGAGTAGCTTCACTTCATATGACGGTGTCCTGAAGCGTAATAAAATTGATGCGATATCAATGGGACATTGATAACAAGCGCTGGATAATAAAGTACGTAGTAATGATATGATGAACTCAAATTAATAATCAATTATCTACTCTTCACAAAATTAAAGTTGATTCTCGCTGGTCACAATTTAAGTTTGATGGATGAATTTGCGGTGGCGGTTTGTGGCGAATTTTTGATCACTTTGACCTTGAAAGTGAGTTCGGTCGGTTTCAGTTTTCTTCCCCATCTAAGTGCAACATGGGGGCTTATAACAAAACGACATCGTTTTTTAAATTGACTGATCTTAGCCGTTGGGAAAATATTTGATCGGATTGGGAGCTTTTGATTCAAAACACGGTTTGACTGAAAGATAGAATACGAAAACTTTAAGCTATTGCTTTGAAACAATCTTTGAACTTATGAATGATTGTGTTTTCTAGAGAAATTTCTGAATGTCCCTAAAGAGAATTTGTTCCAGTCTCTGCAATCTAATTGCATTACAAATTATATTTGGTTCTTTGATCTGGGTCCTCGGCTTTGTTTTTCTATTCGAAAATCCGTGTTTGGGGAGGAAGGAGTCGGTCAATATTATGGATGGAAGGATGTTTAATGAGCACGATGTGTTTGGCTTGCACCTTCTGGTGAAGCTAATTGCTGAAATCAGGTTCTTTGGGAGCTGGCTACGAGCTATCTGCGTTTCTTTCAGATATTGGATACAAAGGTGGGGCTACTTTTGTTTTCTTTCCTCTTTTTTTTTTTTTTTAAAGTCAGAACTCTTCTTTCCTTTTAAATTGTCATTGGCAGCAACAAAAAGGGAAAGCAAGGAGAAAGTTCTCCAGAAAGAAAAGGCCAATGGGGTGAGGGAGTGGCCGAAGCCATTGTTCTTCTTTTATCCTTCCTTCGATTTTCTGAGTTCAACTTATTCTTCTGCATCGATTTCTTCTTTTTCTTCTGCATCGCGTTGTTCTTTGGGTCTTCTGTTTGTGACCGTCGACCAGACGACGTCTTCCCTCTTTTTGTGTGAGAGTTCGGTCACAGCTTCGTGGGGCTGTGTAAGCTAGTAGTTTCTTTCATTCTTCTCCTTTCCTTTAATCCTAAATGGCCACGTATTCCAATTATCCACTGCTACCACGGAACTACCCTTTGACAGAGCTTATTGTTCGTGTTTAGGACGCTGAAACAGGGAAGAAAGCGGGAGCAAGGTGCTGGCTGAAAAAAGTGGAAGATATTTGGTATCTTTTACATGAGGTATCTTTATACTTGTCTTTGGTTACTATATTCCCTAGACTAACTAGTGGTTATGTCTTCTTTTCTTCTTGTTTGTGACATTGATCGGTTTGGGAATTTTGCTATTCTTTCTTTTGATTTCCGATATGGTTCTTAAACATTGGTGTTTGGTTCGACTTTGATTGACGAGTAGGAGCCTTTGGAAAAAAAGATTACTCTAGTAAGATTGCTATGTTTATGTTATGAGCTTGTTAGATAAGGTGCATATCAAGTGTTTGATGATATGTTGAAGAGAAACTATGGGTTACAATCTCAATTGATAGTTAGCTTTTTTGGTGACGGTTTTGTTTAAATTATAAATTGTTTGCTTTTTCATTTTCATATTGACATGGAAGTAAGAACAAAGGAATGATTTAAGTTGGTAGTCATCATGCTAGCCAAAAAAAAGTTGGCAGTCATCCTTGAAATGCACTCGCTTCCTATTTATAGGATGGAGAGAGAGAAATTCTTTTAGTCTCATTTATAAGTTATATTATTAAATTTTTATCACAAACTTTTTTTTTACCTTTCAATAAATGTTGAAAAAAAAAATATATTGTTAAAATATGTATATTTAACACATGTAAAATTAAGAGCTTATTAAATTTTTAAATAAAGAAAATGAAGTTTAAGGTTTTTCTTGACACTAGTAAAACACGTTGAAAATGAATTATAATTAGAATTAGAGGAGTATCATATTAATTAGATTGGGAAAATAAATGTGGTTATTGTTTAATGACTAAAATTAATATAAAAGTTATTTGATAACTATATTCAAACTTGGGAGGATTAAAGGTGCTGCTTAATTTTGAAATGTTCTTAGGACTCATAAAAGCAAACAATCAATGTTTCTTGGAGAAGAGTTATCAATTTATTTTGTTTAAGAGATGTCTTGATACGCATACCATTTATTAATAGAAGTGAGAAATTTTACGTCACTAAATTTTCTATCGCTTACAAGTTTGAATCATGCATAGGCTTGACTTGAGATGTGATGTTTGAAATGCCGTACTTGGTGTTTGGCATTGAAAGAGACTTTTATTCATAATATGGATTTCGTGCATGCTTGAATGAGTGCAACTGACTAAGTTTAAAATGTTGGTTGTTAATAACAACTTTGCTAACCCTTGAAGTGCCATGGTTAACATCTAGTTAGCAAGATGTTTGGGAGATGCTATCCCTCTAAGATGATCATCACACATGGAACAAAGGGATGTGATTATTCGTGAGCATTGTACCTATGCTTGTTATTCGTGGGTCATGTATTCGCATTAGTTTTGTAATTTCAAGTTGTGTTTGATCAGTGAGGCACCCTTGTAAACTTGTGTTCATGTTTGTTATCCATTCTGATGATGTCCTGTTGAAGCATAATATTAGAAGTTAACTTATTTTTAGATTGAGTTTTATAAGCAAGTTGTTTATTCATACATTTGTTTTTCTTTATCCGATGATTTCTAATTAAATTTTTAGTTATTCTTATGATAACACAACTTAAAATTTGATATTGATTGTTATGTCATGACTACGTTGTCTCAATGTTGATATGAAATTATGTGGTTTATGAAGTGCTCATGTTACTTTAATCTGTTTTTTTTTAAGGTTAAATTCATGATCACTTATTATTTCATTAACATTTTTATTGGGATGTTGATGTTATTTACTGATAAATGTTTTGGTCTCAAATATTCTGTACATTTTGCTGAGCATTGAGAGGCATTATTTGCTGAAGTTGTAGAGTTGTTTCAGTCAATCTCAGTGGGCAATATTTTTTTGTTGGTGAATCATGTTTTAGATATTCCGCATAGGCTATAAATAGAATTCTTACCTTTCTTATGTATTTTATTTATCTGCTGGTTTAGAACAGAGCTCCTTTTACTGAATTTGTTGATCCAGCTTATGTAAAACTTTTGAGAAGGGTCCATCTAGATGAGAGGTGCTGTTGAAATTTTTACAGAAACCTTGTGATTGTTCTGTGAAGTGTGTCTATGATCATTATTTTGTACTCAAATATGTCTGTTGGCAAAAAAAAAAAAAAAATTAATGTCAATTGTGGTTCTTGGGGAATTCGGTGTATTTGAAGTTCAAGGGATGTGGGATTTATTATATTTCAGGCCAATCACGCCTTAATTCTCAGGGTGTGACGGGAATAATTGCCAACTTAAAAACACACACAGATCCATGCAGCAACCGAAGTGGACTCAAGCATGGAATATGGACACCAGGAGAAGACGGGAAGTTGATTGCTTATGTTGCAAAGTATGGCTGTTGGAATTGACGACTGCTCTCCAAGTTTGCGAGTAATTAATTAATTAATTAATTGAGCATCACTACATCGAGAACTTTAATTTGACCTTTGATCCGGTTTTCTTCTCGTTAGCCAAATCTTTATATTTATCCTCATTGTAATCATCACCATATTTATAATGACTGATTTTCAGTACTAGCAAGGTGTGGAGAGCGCCGTGGACTTTGGTGGATGAATTAATCCAAGACATCAAAAGAGGGAATTGCACTCCACAAGAAGACACTAACATCAGACTTCATACACCCCCTCAAACATTTTGCTTGGAAAGTTTTGTATATTTCACCACAGTGCAGTTCTCTAGTCCAAAGTAAAACCTCTCTGCCCAAATTAATCACTTGATCCACCCACGATAGTGATTCATTTTTCATGCCAATGACTTGTTCGATGAAAGTGTCTCATGGTCAGGTGTCGGATTTATAATCTCGACTGAGCAAACATGCGTAAGAATCGTTCTAGCATTTTTCAGGATCATTAGAAGAATGCAAGGAGAAAAGGGAAGAGATAGAGGAAATTAGGAAGTAATCTTCCTGTCTTCCTCTTCAAAACCAAGCTCTCTTGTTCCTCGAGACGCACCAAAGTTCCTCTAACCTCCAAAAAAAAAAGAGGTTGATGGTTCTCTTCCGAACCCCCCCTGAAACGAAGTCAAACAAGAGTTGGAACGTTGTCTTTCTACTAATTTAGGGCTAATGCTATCATTGTGACACCACTTATTTTTAGCTGAGCCATGGACGCGCATTTATCTCGAAGCTACTAGAGGTAGCATTTGGCATATGGACGCTTTGGAACGCATGCAAATGCTAAAGTAAACCATGCATCTATTTCAGGACGTTGCGGTGCCAACCTTTCTCTATGACGCAACTTGATTCTATACATTTATATATCTCGTTGCCTTTGCTCTTTAATGACTTCGGATTTGATTTACTTGCAACCATTCAAAATCCATTATAAATTCTATTTCAACAATAAAGGTGAGGCAAAACTTGTTACCTTTAACAAAATTTCAATCAAAACTAGGTACAATATCCATTTGTAATTTCAAATCTTTTTTTGAAGAAATCACTTACAAAAAAAAATTCTAGTCTTCAGTCAATATTCTCCTACACAAAAGGTGCAACATAACTTCAATTTTTAAGAGTTAACATTATGATGGTCAGAAGATACCGTAGCTCACTAGATGCGAGCAAGCTACCGTTCATGTGACCTTGCTTTCATTAACTTCCTCTAACTATGCAGTAAATGCACTGATCTATAATGTTTTCGACATGGCCAAGATACGATCATTTTACATTCATGAGGTTACTTAGCACTACAGAAACTTGTTTGTAATGTTTGCACCATGCCTTCCCTTGACACTTGGGACGATCCCTTCAGTTTTATGCACAAATTTTCTTCAAGATATCAACAATTGGAAAGTTCATTCATGACAATCATTTGGTATATGATTCACCGACAAAATAGACAGCCACCGTTCCATAGATGATGATATAGAAGGAATCTCAAACTTGCCATGGATTTTTAATTCATTCGTCATATTATTGTCACGATTTCAACATTGAAATTATCCAGTCAGTACTAGTTCGTGAACAAATAATATATAGGGTCATTTCACATCATGACCTGGCGATTTCAACATCTCTACCTATGACCATTTTTTACACTTTAAAAATGGAAAATCACGAGATTTTTTCCGACAACAAATTGGGTTGAAACCATGCGTGAGACGACTAAATAAAACGAGTTCACGCAGGATTGATTCTTATGTAAAACCTTATTTCATATCTAATCCAATTAACATAAACATACAATCTTGTTCCTTGAGCCACGGCCCATGGCAAACATTCCCAACCGGAAGAAAATTTGATCACGATAAGGGACAATTATGTGATGAGCACTCAATCAAATTCGATTAGACGTACTGGCTAACCATCTATATACAAACAACCCTATACATGTAGACTACCCTTCATACTTTAAAATTTCAAATTACAGGTATAAAAATTAATAAATTCAAACATAATTTCAAACAACTTAAAATTTTAAATTTAATCCAATACTACGTAACATATTATCACTGCTAATTCTTGTTAAATGTGGGATATATTGCTACTATGATCTCCCTGAGTTATAGATGGTGGAGAAGGAATAATGTTGCTACTATGTAAACTAGTTAATTAATATGATATTTTGTTATTTTATAATGATGATAAATAACAATAGTATCTTAACATTTATTTATATGTTTTAATTGATATTAATTTTTTATAGGATACTTATTTATAATTTTTTAATTAACTGAATATTGTCAAAATAAAGAATATTTGATGAAGGACGTCATTGCATCCTTTTTAATATAGGAGAATAATTGAAGGACAACAAATTCATTTATCCAATATTAATGTAGAGAAAAAACTTGCAAGCTACAGCTACGGCGTATTTATTTATTAGAAATGAGATCATGAAGATGAACACGAGGGAATTGGTGCATGGGCGAGCAAGCAAGGCGGAGATCCCGTGGATCCCGAGCAGCTCACCTTGAAACAAAGAAAATGGAACAGGTGGGACCTCGTTTCCCGGTGCCGTGTCCCTGCCTCTCAGTAAGCTCGCCAATCTATTGACGATCCCACGCAAAGGACGCCATACATGCCGCTTTTTGCAATTTTGCATGCCCAATTTCTGGACAAACTTGTCGCTGCGCACAATCATTGATGCCACCGTACAAACAGTCCTAGCTTCCTTTGTACAAGCCTCAGTACTGATAATCTCCAAGCCTCCACTGGCCATTGACTTTGAGATTGCCTGTGGGCTGTGGCAGATTATTATTTTTCGCATCTAGATTTGAAGTATTAAGGGTTTGTTTTTTTTTTCTGAAACTTATTTTTTTGAAAAGACAAAACCGTATTTTCTTTTTTGTTTTTCTTTTAAAAAAACATTTTCAGGTTGTTTATAGTTTATTTTTCTTGTTTCAAAAATGCATTACATTTGATTATTAAAAATTATTGTTACTTTAATTAATTTTTATCATAAATCACTACTATTAACCATCTATAACTCTCACTATCAGTTTATTTTTTAATTCTAAAACTATTTTTAAATTAATATTATCAAATGTATTTTTCATTTCATTTTATTTTAAAAATAATTTTAAAAACTGCATTACACAACAGTTTTTTTTTTTTTTTAAATAAGAACAAAAACAAAAACAGCCCTAACTTTTTAGTTCAGGCTGAGCCTGTGACTCGCTCGTCCTTGAATTTTCGACAGTCTCTCCGTCCACCTCCTGATAATGTGGAGAACCATCCTAGGCGACAAAAATGGACTCCAGAATGGTTATTGTACTTTTGACCAAGACTTCAAGTTCAGTGCCTGTGTTATAAGGCACGGCTGCTGGAGCGGGCGCCACCCCTCACACACACTTGCCAACGTATTATGATTCTTTTCTAGTACATGTAATGAGAATTGATTTTCAGTAAACCGTACAGGTTTCAAGGACCCTGGAGTTCTTTTCATTGGCTTGTTGTATTCTGACCTGAACCAGATACGGATTGTATTTGTTTCTCTACCAAACTTATTTTCCTAGGGAAAGACACAGAGCCTTAAAGTATCCTTCAGTCCACAGTCTCGTTGTCGCTCTTCCTCTGCTCTTCATCCCTCTGCCCTGTGTTTCTATTTGGTTAAGATTTGCTATTCCTTTCTGATTAAATGCAATAATAGGATGAAGAGAGTGCAAAATCCATCTCCCTGTTCGACGATATTGTTCATCTTAATGATGCTATTGAAGATGAAGGCAAGAGACTTGAGAGTCTGGCTGATAGGATTTTTTGCAGGAAACATTTGATCATGTCGCCGAGCAGGTTGGCTAATTTTCTATTTCTTTTTTCTTTGGTCAAAACGCTAATTTTCTGTTTCTTAATGTAATAACTACTACATATCTATTATTGTTTAGGTTGTCTCCGGTTTAACTCTCTGATCTGTAAAAAGGAACATCCTTCCAACTGCACTGCAGCACTGATCACTTTCTCCCCATGCTTCCTATTATGAGGCAATCAAAGTGAAAGTGGAATCATCAGATAATTGAGCATATTGAAATCATCAGGGAATGTTATGTGATCATATTTATTGACTGTCACTTGTAATCATATAGTTAAGTTAAACTAAGTATAATTTCAATGTTCATGTTACATCTAGATGTTTAACAAAGAACAATTCCATTACCCTTGTTTGGACAGGACAGGGAAAGGAGTTCCCTCATTTGGTAATACTACGAAAATTATCAAGAAAAAATTTCTCTTCTCCTCCTTCCAAACCCTCTCCTTCAAATTGGGGGAATAATGAGCCTCTGCTTCAACCAAACATAGTATTAACACATGATTTTAAATAATTATTAAACAAAATTGTCCATTCTTTTGATAAAACTTGTAAACCATGGAATGTTTTTCATTATATTTCTCTTCATTCTATTCCAATCAATTCCATTTCATTAATGACCGTTCTATCATATATTTTTAAATGTATTCTTACTCTAAATTTGACTTAGTATGTAAATTATGTATAGTTAGTTATGGTTCTTTGATGGTGTTGGCAATATCTCACTATATATATAAAGAGATGCCATTTTCAAAGATCAAGATTTCAGAGGAAAGGAGGCCTGAATTTGAGGGGGAAGAAAAACTTTTATCTATGAGCATGTGATCTCTACTCTCTAGTTTCTTGCACTAGCCAACTATCTTAACTCATGCATCACTATTTTCTTTCTTGAAACAGAGTGGAGAACCTTACTATGTCAGGGACGAAGAGTTAAAGTTTCCAAGCGAAATTCATAATGTTCCATAGGAATGGTTGAAACAATTTTTTTTAATTAAGGTTCAATTTTACCTCTATACTTATTTTTTAGAAACGCTAGACACCCTATATTCTTAAATGGGACAATGTTATTTCTAAACTATTTTTGGGAGGAGCACAAACCCCCTTCCGTTAATCAACTGTCAATTCTTTTGTTTTTTTGCTAACGTGACATGTTGTGGGGTCCACACACAGGGACGTGTAACACATGACATGTCTTTTAGTGTTAATTTATCCCTAAACTCTTTTTTTATGAGCCTTAAGTACCTTGAAGTCTTTTTCTCGGAGCATTGGATACCTTAAAATTTTGTTAAAATAAAATTAAATAAATATTATTAAAATATTAAGTATTTTAATATTTAATAATTTAAATATTATTATCTAAAATATTACACCACCCAATTTAATATTTAAATATTTTTAATATTTTGCACTTTTGTATTAAAAATTAAGCGAATGAACCTGTAAGTTAATGAACATTTCTTCTCATCTCCCTATTTTTCCTTGGTTAAGTAACTTTTTTGTACCATATTAATGGAATAAGCAATATCTTCCAATATTTTTATATTTAAATATTGTTTTTGTTAACATTTTATAAATTTATAGATAACTTATTATTTTTTATATATCAATTTTCGATCTTCTCTTTGATATAATACCCAAATCGTTACGTCTTTTGTGCATGTTAGAACTTACTTATATTTTTAATATTAGTTAAGTTCCTTAATTTTTTTTGGTCAACTAATTATCTTCCTCCAAAATATTGTATTATTCAAATTTAATACTCTTTGTATATTGCAATGTTAATAGTAAATTATTAAAAGATATCACTTATTTCATTAATATGCTACAAAAAAGTTACTTAATAAGAAAAAAAATGGAGAGATGAGAAGAAAAAATCTTTTTATTAACTTGAAGGTTCATTCGCTTTATTTTTAATACAAAATTTCAAAATATCAAAAATAAAATATTAAATTGGGTAGTGTAATATTTTAAATAATAATATTTAAATTATTAAATATTAAAATACTTAATATTTTAACAATATTTACTTAATTTTATTTTAACAAGATTTCAGGGTGCCTAACACTTCGAGAAAAAGACTTTAGCATACTTAGCGCCCTTCAAAAAAGAGTTTATGAGCAAATTAGCACCAAAGGACATGCCGCGTGTTACATGTCATTATGCGTTGGCCCTATACACATGTCATGTCAATAGAAAATGGAAGAATTGATGGTTAATGAATGGAAAGGGGTTTTTGATTCTCCAAAAAATAATTTAAGGATAAAATTGCTCCATTTAAAAGTATAAGGTGTTCAACGCTCCTAAAAATAAATATAAAAGTAAAATTGAGCCTTAACCCCCTTTTTTTTTGGGCCAAAGAACAAATTCTTTTATATGGATTGAATTTTACATTTTCGGCGTAAATATTATTTCCTATGTCAGAATAATTTGTAACGATAGCTAGTTTTTTTGGTAAATTTTGTCTAATAATAATTACGGAAAAAAGGCATGAAAATTCGGGAATGAATATTGAATAAGCATGTGATCGCTAGAAACCAGAGGCGGCAGCCGACATGATGAGGAGTGTATGAGTTGACCCTATTTGTGCATGACTGTCGCTTAATAAAGGTCCATCCATTGCCAATAAAACAACTGTAACTGTAGTATTACCTGACAGTGATTACATCAAACCCATTGCATATGCATATAGCCCATAGGAATCATCACGTGTAAATCATTTAAGCTTTAACAGTTTCAAACATGTACGAACGATCCACCCATTTCGCTGAAGCATCCTTGCAGTTTACCCTCAATCCCAAGTCCACGTTCATATGATTGAAGATAAGTTCCGTTTGTCTCTAACCATCAAGGCCGGCTTTTTAACACTACATATGCGGTTCTAAATTTTAATACAATCAATTGACTCACATTGAGAAGCGAAAACTACGGAACAAGGTTTTGATGGGAAAGTTGGGCTTCATGTTCGCCGCATGTGTGGAACTGACAGGAATTTGTCGAGGAATGAAGATTTGCCAGGAAAAATGATTTTTAAAGATTACAATGCACTGCTTAATTATTATATTGATTGTAACTTCATTGCTCTCCCACTGCAATGTAGGCATCTTTATTTTTATAAAGATGAGGGAGGGACTCATTCCGTAGCCCAAACCCCGTTCATGATAAAAAAAAATAGTCAAAAGAGCTATTGATTCAAAAGCCCATTTATAATAAAAATGAAAACATGAGCTTTTGATTTATGTTTGTCAAACTTATTTTTAAATATATATATATATATATATTCAGACATAAATCATTTTAAATTAATGACTTTTATGCTTAATTATTTCAGCTTATTAACTTAATTTTTTTCCATGTCAAGTTTATAACCTTAAATTTATTCTAACTTCAATTTTACAACTTTTAACCCCAAATACACCTGTAGTGTTTCATGAACAATTGAACTAACTTTTTGTGTGGCCTTTGTCTTAGTCTTTGTAATTTTGTTAAAAAAATAAATAATTATAAATGAAGTAAACGTACGCAGCAGGAAACAGAGTGGAGAGTTGGTTGAGGGGTCGATGGCTCAATGCTATGGATGAGGTTTTTTGTTTTTCACGGGTCGCATTATTTAATTGATATCCTGTTTGACGAGAAATATTTAATTTATGGAAATCAAGGACGTCATCACCTGACGTCGACGGTGCTAACCTTGTTTTTGTCGCACTGAGGAAGCGTCATCGAAGTTCATCACGGGCTCACGACTAATCCTACGATTGTCGTGGGATAATAAATTATTTGGAAATGATTGTTCCACGTGGACCGTGATGAAAGGTGCCAACACGCAGCAATTTCAAACTATGCCGAAAGTAATTTCATTTTATTCTAATTTAATCACTTGAATTCAATCCTCTACAATTTTATGCGCTCAGACACACACGCTAGCTTATTTCTGAATCAAAGCATCTGAAACAGTACAAAAAATCATCACATGGGAGAATTTCAGATTCTACAGGAATTATCATTATTCTTCCATTAGTCTGGGGTTTTGAAGGCCTCGTGTCTTTTAATCTCTCTCAAATTAACTAATTATATTCTTCATCCCAATTTAACTGGACTGATAATTTTCCTTCAAATTTTAAATTACTAAAGATAAACCAAAAATAGGAGAAAATGCATGGAGATGATGGAGCTAGCTAGCGTGTACCTTGCCAATTTGAAATGGATATTTAAATCAAAGCTGGCTCGATTGATTCCGCGCGCAACTATATTTTAAAAATAATAAATCATATTGATTAGTACAGTACTGGTTAATGGAAAGTCTTTTCCATCAGTATCGAGAAAACTGACGATAACGCCAAATCATAGATACCATAAAGAAGGAATTTTATATTAATACATATTCAGCACCACATGCTTTTTCTCAAAGATCAAAGATGCCAATTATCCAATGACGGAGACATCTTCAACCGGCTTCGCGTGATCCTTTACACACTTCCTAAGCTGAAAAAAAAAAAAAGAACTAATTAATTAAATGAAATTGAAATATCCAACAATACTTTCTATCTTTTTTACATAAAAATAAATACATAAAGCTTACCATATATTATAATGACATATATTATTTTAAATTATGTAAAAGCAGCTATCATTACATTGCCAAGTGAGCTGGCAACAAATTTTTTTTTTGGTGTTTATTAATTTTCTTCGTATTGCATAGTAATTATTCAACCCAAACTCGGATTAAATTATTTTATCATCATCATACTTCAAACGAATTGATGATTTATATTGTATGTATTAATGTCTTGATATTCGGATCGAATTCTTATCTTCATGTGTGTGTGGGCGAGCACACGATTTTCTTGCTCCTTTCGATTCTTATAGTGTCACATGGATCTTTTAACTTATGCAACAAGGTTCAATTAGATATAGGCATAGTATCTAAGACAATTCTCTTTCATAAGTAGTCCAAGAATGGATTATTTTTAGTTTTTTTACCGAAGCCTAAAGGCTTCCAAGAAATTCCTTCTTGTCAACTTCAGCACACTAGTATAGCAGTAAAATACAGGCTAGCGTTGAGCCTCGTTGCTTTGGTAATGATGTCGAAGTTGTGGGGCCATGTGTATGTACACGTTTTAAGCCGCAACAGGATAATGCTATTCAGATGTGATCAGACAGGGGCAATTTATGCGTGTGTATATATATCTACATATATTCTCATTGTGGGCTGATCTGGAGGGATCGAAAACTTACTTGGGATCAGAGTAACATAGCTACCTTACCTATAAAGTACCACTGTAATATAGTTTCTGTATATAGGAGATGGTGAGAGGTCCTTTCATCGACGCAAATGGAGTTAAAAAAGGTGCATGGAGCGAAGAAGAAGACCAGAAGCTTATTTCTTATATTCAGACCCACGGCCATCCTAATTGGCGCCAACTCCCCAAGTTAGCAGGTTCACTTCATCGCCTTTAATTTGATCTCACACATGTCATTCTAAACACATATAACGTGTATGTGTGTTATCACAGGCTTGGCGAGGTGTGGAAAGAGTTGCAGGCTTCGATGGATGAACTACCTGCGACCAAATCTCAAACGTGGGAACTACACTCCACAAGAGGAGGAACTCATCCTCAAACTTCACGAACAGCATGGAAATAAGTATGAAATTTGACTCGGCTTGTTGATTACTTGATTTGTCACACCCCCAATTCGGGGAATTTTGAGCTTCACGACATTGACTGGAATGTTTTGGCGTACATGAATTAATGGTCATGTGCATGTATATAATATAGGTGGTCGCTGATTGCTGAGAAGCTGCCTGGAAGAACCGACAACCACATAAAGAATCACTGGCACAGCCAACTCAAGAGGCGATCGAGGGACAGAGGAAGGAATGATTCTGAGGTGAAAGGCAAGAAAACAGGTCGTAACAATGCGACCAAGCATCCAGAATCTGATATTGTGAAAGTCGTGAATGAGTTGAATAATATATTAGAGAGCTCATCCTTGAACTGGACGGAAACGACGTCGTCGTGGACCACGGCAGATCAAGACAACTCTGTTTCTCTGCCTTCTAATGATATAGGATCGACCGCCAAAAATTCCCCGGAAGAGTATAACAGCGTGGCTTCACGGGAAGCCAGCAGATTTCAAGAATTCAGCGGCGATTTTTGGACCGAGCCGTTTATATCAGAAGATATGTACAGTGAATATTGCTATCCACATATTGGGGGCGACGGTGGCAGCGCCGGCGGAGACATTTTTTCATATGATGGGGCACTCTTGTTTTTCTAAGTCGTCACTCTGAAGATATTCAGTGAAACGGTACGAGACAGATTAATTGGAGTTTTTTTTTTTTTTTTTTGGTTCTAGGTTTAATTTTTCATTTTGTCTTGAGCTGATGAGTGGCATGTGGGAGCAGAGCGGAAAAGGATCATCAGGCACAAAAGAATAAGCGAACACTAGTGTTAATGCTAGTGTTTATTTTCACAATTGGTGACTTGTTCTCTGTTTTTCCAAAACGTCATTGGCCGAGCACTATTAGGCTAGAGTCCATGAGAGTTCTCCCCCCCCCCCCCCAAAATCATGTTTATTTTATTTTTGTTATTTTCATAACGGATAAATTCCATGTCCCTGAAGCAAGTGTAATTATTTTGAACTAATAAGGTACACAGGATGAGCAAGAATGGAAAAAAAAAAAAAAAACTCTGCCTATACAGCCAGATTAGCAAGGAAAAGGGACAATTGACTCCGAAAACTGCTTACCAAATGTTAGTTTGTAAATGAAAAGAACAGCAAGGATTGCCTTCCAATCAATAATATTCAAAAAAAACAATATTTGCCTTCCAAAACCTCATCTTTATGTCTCCCAACGAGTTTTTTTTTTTTTTTTACCGATCAATGAGAGATCAAAGAAAGATTTCTTCTGAGCTCCTTCAAGTTTTTTTAGACAAAAACATCTCATTAAGTGTCTTTTCCATTTTTTTCTGTTTTATTAGATACACTATCATTTTAATTTAAACAATTTAATAAAATATGATATTTTACATTTATCATGAATCCAACGCACGAGGTTCCTATCTAATATTTACTTTTTATATCTCTTTCTAAATTTGTCGTATACATCTATTTTTTGGAAGTTAGGAAAACCGACTTGGGATTTCATAATTAAAAAAATAATTTATTAAAACATTGATAGTGATTGTCACCCTTTTCTTCTTCGACCGCTTCGCAACCTGACTTTCCTTGTTTTTCTTCGTTCGCACTTTTATTGTTACCAGTTCAGCAGCTTTTCTTTTGGGATTTTTTTCCCCCCCAGGTTGCTTCTCAACCCAACTTTTTTTGGCGCTTGCCACTCTTTCTATCCTTTGTACCGTTCTTCTTGAACCCCAAAACTTTAGCTCTCTTTTTACCATGTTGCTTTCATTCGGCATTTCATTTTCTTGCTGCCCACCAAACTTGTCAATCACTTGTCTTGTCAAATCATCTGCATAGCTTCACGTACAAAGTTAATGATGCCTCCTGACTTCCTGAAGCTTCAGTGGCTAGGCTTCTAAGTGGACGACTTCTTGTCTATAGTGTTTGTGCAATAGCTGTCTTGGCATCTCTGCCTAGATCTCACTTCCTTTAAAATCACATAAATGGCGCTTCTGGCTTGTTTAGTGACTTTAGTCCATCTCTTCAGAATATATTGATCAGGTAGTACGTAACATTCATTGCACACAACACATTCAACCCATGAGGCCATGGCGGCAGATTACAGCGGAGGCCTCAAATTTAACTTTTGTCACGAAAGTAAAATGAAACTTTACACTCTTCTCTCTTCCCAACTAAAGTGATCATGTACTGAACCAAAAAAAGGAGTGTCTTCCAACGAAGGACTTTCATCTAAAGGAGGAATCATCCAATAAAGGAGCCTTAACCATATATATGCGCTGCTTCACGCATGCAACTAAATATAGGTCCCCCTCTTCTGGCAACAGATCCAAGTGAAAGTGTACGCCTTGCCAAGTTGGTTTCACGTGAGAGAAAGCTTACTCCTCAACCTCGGTACTGCTTGACGAGCATCAAATTCACACTTCAATTATTTATTTGGTCATCATCAGGCCATGCCCATTTGATGGGCATGATATCAAATGACGGGTTCTCTAATAATTGCTGTGGTCCAAACTTATAGGAGATGGATTTTGAATCATTTGGTGCCAAACTTACAGTATTGAAAGTGTGAAACCACTCCGGTTTGAGCAAAACACTAATGATTCATTTATTTAATTGATAATCGATTTGATGTGTAAAACAACTCCTAATTAATTAGTACTTTACCCAACAAAGCCTACTTGTCAATGGCCAACACCAGCTCCCATCCAGATCCAGTGTGAAGTTCAGGATTTGAACCCATCATCGATATGTGCATGTGAGGTGTATGAATAAATTTGATTCATTAAAATCAAAACCCAATAAGGCCTACTTGTTTCAGAAAAGCGTGATGTTAAAGGAAATGGCTCACATGAAGACCTTAAGCCCAGAAGCCCAAGCCGTCCAACTACATGGAAATTGAACAAAAAAGGAGAATCGAGTCCGGTGGGACCATATCACTTATTTCAACAAGCGCTGCTTTGACACGTATCAATTGAAAAAGATTAATCGATCGTGTTTAATCGGATGTTAAAAATAAATATTATTTATTTATTTATTTATTTGTTATGATAAAGGATAATTAAATATATATATATATATATATATAAAACAAAAATAAGATACCCTTTATGTTGTCTTAATGAAAGAATGCAACATTGAGAAACACTTGGTTCAATTGCTTGAATGAGTTGAAGTTTTATTTTAGAATTTTAAGTTCAAATTTTAAAATAATATACTATCATATTAAATAAATATGTTAAAAAAATATCCTGAGATACTCATTTTGGGTGAAAGGTGGTACTATTTCCACCAAGGTTGAATCCAAAAAAACATATGGGGGCAAAAATGAAAATTACTTAATGTATGAGGGTTAACACTAACTATCACAGTTTTTACCAATAAAATAAAAAAATTCCTAAAAAATTTTAAACGGCCAATCAAATTGTACATCCCCAATTCCCTAGCTTTTCGGGGTACCAGGCGATGGAAAAAAAATTGCAACGTCCCGCTCGATGACTTTGGCCCGGATTAGACTCCAAGTGCTTGATTTTATTATATATGTTAGAAACCGTTAAATTTGCAAATAATGTTTTGTTAGTAGAAATGCATTTTTTATAAAGAAAATATATATATATATATATATATATATTCTTTATAAAAATATTTTTCTGCAAATCAAGCATATGGAGAAGACAGTTTTGATGAAATTTCTTTTCTAGCTTTCGTATCGACTTTGCATTATACGTTGTGATGAGGGCAGGCACATGAGCAAAGCATAAAAGAAAATCACAGGATAAGAATATAAGACGCACAAATGATTCAATTTTGGTGTTTGTTTGTTTCACACAACTCACGAAGAAAACTGCGAGGATGCTAATTGCAGGACGTAATAACAATTTCCTGTTGGAATATATATTTATAAATCTACGCTAATTAATAAATCCAAACGGATTGATTTTTATGATATTGTATGGATCGTGATAGGTGGACTACACAAGTGAGTCTAATGGGCAGAGACCTAACTTACAACCCAATAACTGTCAATTATTCTCTATCTCTTAACTGATTGAGTTTGAGATAATGAAATATAATTAATTAATTAATTAATGAAGCGGTTACTGATCTGATCCTTGTAAATTGATTAGTCGATAACCACTACACACACAATTGTTTTCATTTACTTCATTATCTCTCCACTCTCTGAAGATTATGAGGGTCCAGTGAGTTGTGCGTCTGCCTATACTAGAGGCAATCGAGATCTCGTATTCAATCATGAATTCTTCACGTATATACATCACTATCCTTAAGTCTTATTTGATTTATGAGAATCGAGATACTAGAATTAACAAGTGACATTAGAACCAAGGTTATGAATATTATATCTGAAGTATCTCAATTCAATATGATTAATTGAATAGAATTTCTTTCAATCTTGCTTGCTCAAATTTGATTAGCATGTTGAGTTTCTTACTCTTCTCTTGTTATTGAGTTGAGAATTTCTTGGCCTCTTATATTTGCGAAGAAGCCATTAGCATGATTTGTTTAGACATATGAATATGTTCTATCATGAATCTCTATCACTCTCTCTTTTCTTCCTTTTATTCACCGACGTCGGGGATGAGCTATTGGTGTGCTGTTAGGGCTTATATTATCGAAGTCATACTACACTAGCATTGCTTGCTAAAAAAAACCATTCCAACAGCTGTCATCGTGTCGTCGAATAAAGGCAACAACAAATTATAGAATCGATGGAAAGAGCTTTAGATCGCAAGAGATGAGTTGCTAGTACATCATGGTGCATCTTTAGTCAAAGTTGTTGAAAACAGTGTGAGCTTTGTCACCATGAATAACTAATAGAAATTGTCTCTGTGTTCCCTGCATTTTTAGCAGAGGCTATTTGGTTCACAGCAGTACTCTCCCGAACTCATGGTGTCGCGTACTAGGGTCTATTTGACATCACTGAAGAAGGACCTGACATCGTGGCCTGTCATTGTGTGGTTGCCGACGTCGTGGACGTCCCTCTTGCTTCTAGTTTGTGCTTCTGCAGTCCAACGACTGGAGAAGAAGCAAAAATCAGGTCAAAGAAGCGAATCCTAGGGATCCATCTTCTCCGAGACAGGCCAGTTTTTTTTTTTACTTTGTTTAGGCCTAGCACATTAAAAAAAAAAAGGCCCAACATGTGAAATGGGTTGTTTCACTCAAGTGAGACAAAATTAGGCCATAGCCTGGGCCCAATACAATATATAATAATAATAATAATAATAATAATAATAATAATAATAATAATAATAAATTATGTAAATTGCGTTTCAAGCTCAGTTTAAAAATACCTTGTTTTGCCCATAATTTTTGGGATTTACGTCATGACCCTAAACAATTTTTAGAAATTACATTTTAATCTCTTAACTTTTAGAGTTGCATTTTGACCCAAACTTCTTCCAAAATTACCAATTTACCACTGGACACCTTTCAAAAAAAAATCTAATTAAGTCTCAAATTTATTCTCTAATTCCTAAAAGGACCTTAAGGACTTTTGAAATTATTTTATTTTGTCCTAAAGTCATAAAGCTTGTAATTTTGTGAATTATTGTTGACGCTTAAGATCTTGTAGCATTAGTGATGGACATACCCCATAGGTGTGACATTATTAATGTAATTTTGATGGTTGGCTTTAAAAATAGGCAAATAGTATTTTTTAATATATTAGATATTTGTTATACCCCATAGGCATAAAAATATTTAATACATATTTTTTGGTACGGACTTTTGTGTAAGCCAAGTTTGTGTGGTATGAGAGCCTCCTTAGTGCATGATAATACTTGCATAACTAAAGTTTGCTTGTTGAAAATTCTGTACTATAATTATATTATACACGCATAATTATTTCCCATATTTTGTTTTGTGGTTTTAATTTTTATATTTTAAGCAATTGTCTTTTGTTAAGGCCCTTTATGAGACTTAGTGCATGATAATAGTTGCATAATTGAAATTAGCTTGTTGGGAATTATGTACTATAATTATGTTATGCACGCATAATTACCATTTCTCATATTATATTTTGCAATTTTAATTTCTATTTTGAGTAACAATTGTTTTGTAAAGGATCTTTATTGGACTCATTATGATCATTTGTGAGAGTTCTTAAGTATGTATCTTACTACTTTGAGAATTATTTGGCTTTGAGAAAACTAAAACTAGTGTATTTCTCTTATAGTTTAGTGCTTTTAATAAAGCTTATCATATACATTTGTATAAGTCGAATCATATCTGTTTGATGGTAATTGAATTCACCATTTAGGGACAACATTTTTGGTGAGATATATTATGTGATGCTTGATAACATTAATTATGGTGGGACATTTGGTGTTAAAAGGGGTATGTCTTGAATTTGTATGGAGTTGACTTTAGAGTATTCCTTGGCATATAAAATTATTACAACTTAATCATGAATTCTTGACATCTTATTTCATATAAGAAAGGGGAGAGATTGAAGGATCATACAATAGTAATAGTAGTCCATAATAACTTTTAATTTGAGGGGTGAAATGTTTCAAGTTTGGAACATTTAAGTGGAGTTGCTAGACTATTATCCTTTTATTTGGAATTTTCATTTCCATCCACATGCTCAGGGCATTTATGAATAAATTAGTAATATTTTTTTTTATGATATTGCAAGATTGTTTACATTTAGTGATTGTATGCTCACCTATAGTGAGTCAAATCATGGTAGTGTATTATTTAAAATTATATTTCAAGATATTATGTTGATAATGAATTTTATCCCATAGGTATGTTATTGTCAATGTAATTTATGTTTTAAAACTTCAGAATTATCTCTAAAGACCATATTGGTAAAGGATGCTTTCAGTAAAACAAGGATTACTATTATTAGTAGTTGGGCGTTTATTTTGGCAGGTTTGCAAATAAGGATTTTAATTTTTGTTATGTTTCTTGTACCTTATAGGTATGGTGACATTAAATACATTTTGTTCTAATCCTTTTGATAAAGTCCTTGATTCATATTTGAATTGGATGGCTAGTAATCTAGTGTTCAAAATAATATAAGATAAATTATTTGTATTAGGCTGAAAATCATAAGTGAGATCTTTAGTTGAAGAAGCTCAATCTCAAAATCTATTAAGGGATTCATTGTTTATTGTTGCATAGGATCAAGAAGGTGTCAATTTTTTATTACTCACTATCAAGTTAATCAAATTTGAATCTTATTTTTAAATAAATAATGAGAGTTATGGGCTTACACCATTGATTTACTTGTTAAGAGTACCAACTTTACCTAAACATGTTTGCACATCAACTTCATTTGATGACGATGAGGTTGTTAAGGAATCCACTTGTTAAAATAAACATTTCTTATTATACAAGGTGACGACATTATCATACAATTCATGGATGTCATAATAACTTACCACTAAATTATCTAAAATGAATAGAGACTTGAAGGAAGGAATTTAAATACCTTAATATGATGGTATTGTAGAACTTAGTTAATAACATTTAACGTGTATCTTTGTAAAACCATCTTCAAAATAAGCAAGTCTCCAAGCAGTGATATCTGAATTTTGATGAGGCTATTAGCTTTTTTTAATTCTACTTAGAATAATTCAAGTTTGTGTATATTTGTTAAATGTTTGGGAGAAGCAGTCTTTTGCTTCTTATGCTCCATACTAATAGCCAGTCACTAATTAGTGATTAAATGAATGAGACAACATACTTGTGGTCATGCCATCTTGATACAAAATCTTCTGTCTGACATATTTTATTCAAGGATTAATATCCATTTTAATTTAATATGTTTAATTGCAACCTTGATTTGTCTCTTGCAACCTATTTTAATCAAGTGTTTAAAAATCTAATGCACACTCTTAGTTTGATGCCTATTTAAGGGCTCTAAGGTTGCTTAAGTTTTCACATCCTCAAAATTAATGTTGAGGAAGACCATTTTTTTTATTTTTGCATATAAAGATTTTATATGCTTCCGCTATGAATGACTTTGAAGATGCTAGAAGTATGCATTGGTTTTTGATCTAGATTTTGCTTTGTGTACCCCTTAGTAAATACTTGCAAAATCCAAGTGGGAGATTATTAGAATATTTATTTATGAATTTATATTAATTAATAAGCCTAAACAGATTAATCTTTATGATCTTATATGGACTGTAATAGGTGGACCACACAAGTATGCCTAATGAATAGAGGCCCAACCTACAACTCAGTAGTCATAAATTATTTCCCATCTCTTAATTGACTGAGTCAGAGATAATAAAATATAATTAATTAATTATTTAATAAAGCAGTTACTGATCTTGTCTTTATAAATTGATCAGTCGATAATCACTACACACATGATTGTTTTCATTTACTCTATTATCTCTGCACTCTCTAAAGACTACGGGAATTCAGTGGGTTGTGCGTCTGCCTATACTCGAGATAATCGAGGTCTCGCATTCAATCATGAATTCTTTAGGTACGTATATCACTATCCTTAAATTTTATTTGATTTATGAGAATTGAGATATTAAAGTTAACATTTCCCCCATTACCTAAAGGTATGTGAAACCATATAATTTTCAGCAAGCTCCTTCCTAAGTCTTTGCATGCAGTAGAATAAAGTCTTTTTATTTATTTATATGATTATTTGATTGAGTTAGATTAAAGTATTATCATCCGGTTTGATATTTTTCCTAAAAGCTTTATACATTTACACGGACTTGAACGTGAGACCCTGTGTTTAAGTGATCATAATTCTTTATACTAGAATCATGCTTGTTATTTTTTTTACCTTTTTTAATTACTATTGTTCAGGACAAATTTATGGTTGAAATTAAACTCGTAACGTATAAGTGTGAATGGTCTATTCTTTAATTCCTTCCAATATTTGAATATTTCAAATACAATATGACAAAGCAGGTCTGAACAAAAGGTTGTAATGTATAAGTGCAAATAGTCAATTATTATTTATTTAGTGTGATTAGATACTCGGATGAAGAAAGATAGGAATAAGGCAACACACGAAAGTGAAATTGATTTTTTATTTTAAAAAAAAAATTAAGAAGTTGTTGTTTTTCTAAATTATCTTTTCATTCATTTCAATCTAAACACATTCTAAAATATAAGAATTGAATTTAAATAAAATTCGTAAAATCATTAAATAAATTTTGTAGAAAAATAATTAAAATATTAGAATTCTATAGATACTATTTCTGGTGCTTCTAGTAATAACGTTTTTCTCATGCATATTTATTATTTAATTATCCCCCCTCCCTCGGTCAGCTGAAAACTTCCCCAAATGCCAAGTACCTGGTCAATCTGAAGTCAACCATGACTCGACAAAGGAAGGATTAGTCATCAGTGAGAGCCCCAAAGGACAGTGTGAGCGTAGATAACAAAGTATTTTCGTTAAAACCGCGGAGTCAAAAAAGCTTAATTCAAAGATATTGCTTTAAAATGGCTAATTATACGGAATCGGGTATCTTTTTAATTAAAGACAAGGACTCGTATAAAGCCAACAGTGTCAAGTGTGACTCTCGCTCTCTTGACTTAACTTTATTTGTCAAGCAACCAGTGCTGATCCATTCCTCACCATACTTTGCGCTCCTAGTAGCCTGCACAGAAAAAGGTGGCAATGCTTCTTCTCGTTCAAAATCAGCCACCCAAATTCAATATTTTATTGTTAGGGGAATTTGCCATGAAATTTGAAAGCATACCCATATTTATTTTCAACGCATGTTGCTAGCTAGCTAGGGCTTCAATATTTATATATGCACACACATATAGATATATGTTCCCGTATTTGCATGTGGTCTTGTCTGAGAGAACCAGACAAGTTTAGATGATGAGAGGCCCTTACTATGATAAAAATGGAGTGAAGAGAGGTGCGTGGAGTAAAGAAGAGGATGAAAGGTTAAGAGCATATGTTGAGAGACATGGCCACAGTAATTGGCGTCAACTCCCCAAACGCGCAGGTATATACACACACATGCTTGATCTTGTTAACCAAACTGAACCCAAATTTTGATCATGCACTTGGTGATGCCCATGATCGATCTCTTCCTGTAATTCTCAACCAACTTCTTATTTCAACCTGATTGACTTCAGTCCCTCATTAAATTAGAAATATAGATTGGTATGGGTCTTGATGGAGTTTCATCTGCAATTACGCGCGTACAGGTTTATCAAGGTGTGGAAAGAGTTGCCGACTTCGCTGGCTAAATTACCTGCGCCCGGATGTAAAACGCGGAAATTACACCAAAGAAGAAGACGAAATCATCATCAAATTACATGAACAACATGGAAATAAGTAAGCATGCGTTCCTTCTGACATCAAATCATCAAATCTGGGAACCCAGACATCCTGGGATTAATTAAGCGCTTTAGACATGAACTAAAAGCATGTAAGACTATTATTTCATACCCAATATAATAAATATCTGATATTTGTCGTCGTAGATGGTCTTTGATTGCCGAAAGATTACCAGGGAGAACTGACAACGAGGTCAAGAACCACTGGCATAGCCACCTGAAGAAGCACTTGGAGTGCAATCACGAAGAAAATTTTGAGTTCAAAACAAAGCCCATTGATATTTGTGGAGGAGAAGCAACCAAGTATTTCGAACCTGAAAGTTGTTTTCTTGGTTTTGATGCTTCTTCCTCCAGCAATATCTCGGGAAGCTCACCACCCATCTACCGTTCATCTTCAGCCTCCGCCTTCGGAGAAGAAAGCGTTGCTGATGCTGCCTGGGAAATATTTGAAGAATTCGGCGATTTCTGGACCCAACCATTTCTTCCAGAAAATACGTATGAGCAGGATAACTATTGTAGTCTGAACCATGCACCAAGTGTAGCAGATGTGGACGAATATTCCTCATACCTCTTCGATAATACTGAGTTTTTGTGCCAAGTGATGCAAGAATTTCCAGGTGACCCTAAAAAGGATATACAAGTAAATGGTAGTTCTTCCATTTGTTTCTTCTGATGGGCTTCATGAATTTCAAGACATGTATGATGATTGAAGAGAGGTGAAGAAAAGGAATGCTTGATTTAGACAAACATCATATTTTGATCTAAATTAAACCATGTATTTCTTCCCCGTTCTCTTCAATCAGAGCTTATATCTGTAGGGATATATAACTGATCCTTGTGTTGTGCCTGGAAGTTGGTGGTGGAGCTAAAGTTTGTTGGTTTAACTATAATTTCCCTCTTAATTACATTTATAAGAGTGATAATTAATTAATTAATGCATGAAAAATTGAACATGGCGTGCAGATCATGCCGTGGGTTAGAGCTGAAGATGGATAGCTACAGAGGTTGGAGGAGTTGAAAAAAAATAAGCACCAAAAATCCTTTTTATTCCTGCAACACCAAATTTGCAATTCCGTCCGCACACTGATAATCATCTTACTAATATGTGAATGTGTGCGCGCGTACGTCATGACCAGCCTCATCATGAAAGTAGTTGAACCCAATCTATCATATTATGGGGTCAAGGTGCTCATTTGGTGCTATGCACCGTCTCTTGAATTGAAAAAAATCTGGGCTTCACATAGTCCAGATTTTTTTAATTTATATTTATATTTTTTATTTTTTATTTAGTAAATAAAAATTATAAGATTTTTAAATAAATAAGTTCATAATTAATATGGACAGTACAGATTTAATATGAATGGTTCATTTTAATATTAATTTTTTATAATTTTTATAAATTGATTATCTATATGTATTTTGGACAATCTGAATTTAATATTAATTTTTTATATAATTTTTATTTTGATAAATCATATATTAAAAATAAAAATAATTTCCTGATGAGAAATTTTTTTAAGAAATTAAAATTTAAAAATTTTAAATCTAGATTATCCAATGTAAATCTGGATACTCAATTTATAAAAATTATCAAAACTTTTAATATTAAATTTGATCTTTCAAATGAGATCTGTCCATATTAATAAGGAATATAGTTATCTAATTTTTTTTATAATTTTTTAATAAATATAAAATTTAAATTTAAATAAAAACTTTAAACTAGATTTCATCACCGATAAGCACCCAAGTTAAAAGCCATATTGTGTGGATTTTGATTGTCGATTTTGGCGGACTTGCATCTATCTAAAAAGCCGAAGTTTTTGGATTTGCTTCTGTATTAAAAAAAATCGTTATGCCATATAGATTATCACTAAATTGATTGATTGCCGAGGATTAAATTGTGTACTTTGAATTGGGTCTTTTATTTTGCCTTTGCCTAATCTTCCGCTTTTTCTTTTTTGTTTTTTTTTAACTATGTAATATCTCAGTAATGAATAAAATTTGTCTTTTGATTTAAAAAAAAATTTGTGTACTTTGAAGTTTGGTCTAAATCCAGAGAACATTCCACAGATGATTCATCGATGAGCACATACGAAGACGGATGCCGTAACTTTCCTTTTGATTTTTTAATATTTTGTTCTGTCTGATTTTGGAAGTCATATTAGCAGATAGTTTTAACCGACAATGAGCTTGACAAGAACTTCTTCTGGCTTCCTTTTTCGGCATCGGCAGAGCTGCTACGAAACTTTCTGGCCTTCAGATCCCTCTTCGCTCCGTTTTTGTTCTCCATTGCAGCGCAATCGATTCCACAATGAGAGCGAGGACGACGAGTGCGAAAACTTCTGGATTCGATGCGAGGCGGCTGCTTCTGCTCCAGGTGAGGACTCCATAGCTTGCTGCTTCATTTTCTAAGCGGGATTGGTTTGGAGAATTGAGGTCACGGGGTTCGTGCTGTTTCATCTTCATTCTCCATCTCACTGAAATCGGGTTAAGTGATTCCCCATATGGGTTTCTTCTTGCGCTATGGGTTTCGTTTTCTTGCAATTCCTAGTGTGAATCATCCCTGATTGCGAAGTTTTTGGTGTTCAGGGATAGGTTAATCGATCATCTTTGTCCATGTTAATACTGGAATTTTCTCTGCTGTTCTTGTAATTATGTATACGATAGAGGGGCTAGGTATGGGAATCAGGTTGCTGTAATTTAAATCCCTGTTCATCTCTGTTGGTATTGTTGCTTGGATGCTGATCGGTTGTAATCACTGTGATGTTAATCTTGTTGATATAATGGGTACTGTAATTGTAATGTTAAAAAAGTAACAAACCTCTTGATTTGAAAAATGGAGCAAGATTGTACCCATTAGCAGTTTGGGAAACTTGTTCATTTGCTTGATGGAGCAACCCAAAAAAATAAATAAATAATTCCCGAAGCTTGGATGCGTATCTCTCACAGTCTAGGAGAGAAGACTGGTCATTGACTTTTGTTGGGAACTAATCACTATCAGCATGTCGTTTCGTTAAATTAGGTGAGTCATCAGTGTTTTTTCACTGTAGATGGACTAGATGCCCCTTATCTTAACACGACCTTCCACGCGCTCTGGCAAGATCATATCCTATTGTTGGACCAAACAATTTAAGTGTATGTTTAAATTAAAAAATTTATAATTAAAGTTAAAAATCAATTTAAGTTAGTAAACTTAGATTAGGACAAATGTATGTGATTATAACGTGATTTATATTTAAATATTTTTTTTTGTAAAAGTCAGTTAAATAAATTAAAATTTATTTCGATGATTTGATTCAAAAGTTAGTTAAGATATATAATAACAAAAATGAATATAAGTTTTATTTTATATATTTTTATGACTAATTTAATATTTAAAAAAATTAAACTTAAAATTTATAATTTTTAAAAAAGTAGATTACAAGTATAAAATATTTAGTTATAGTAATTTTATGAATATCGATATATCTGTATGAGTATAAATTTTTGTTCCAACCTTGTTGGTTTAAAAAATATATTAAACTAAATTATGGATGATGCCATTTTGTTTTAATTCATTATTCATATATAGTAAATGTGATTTGTAATGGGCTTGGTTAGCGTATTTATTCAATTATCATGGCTCAATGTACATTTTTTATCATCAGAAAATTATTTTAAATTGTTTATCTGTTTCAGAATTAACAGATTTTTTATTAAAAAATCCAATGAATTAATTGTAAAAAGGGAGAAAAGGCATGTTGCCCGTCAATTTAAAAGGGAGAAGGACAAAAAGGTTGTGGTGAGAAACAAAGGAGGAAGACCCGTGCCAAATATTGGATAAAAGTTAAAGGATGATAATCAAAAATGAAGAAGAAAGGCAACTTGAAAATGAAATGAAGAGAGAGAGGATAAGAGGATGAAAAGTGAAAACGCTCATTTTAACTAAACGCTTGGTATTAAGGCTGCCTCATCTAGCTTCGATAAAAACGCTAGTTCTCCCTAAACGCCCGTTCAATTTTTTTTATCAATTCAAACCAGATTTCAGGAACATTTAACATGCTAACTTAGGTTTGAGTGACCCCAACCTTAATTGTGGAGTTCTGATTAAACATAATCGAGCCGAAGGTTTTACCACCAAATACTCTTATATTTTTAAGAATATAAAACTCAAATTCAAAACTTCTAATTGAGCTATTATAACTCTTTTATTGGTATAACCAAACATATCATCATATCAAGGGCAAAGATGGCATTTCATCATAGTACCTAACTTTTATAAAGTTGTATATTAATATTTAAACTCTCAATATCACGCTTAAATAAATTAATGGAAAATAATAAATTGCAAACTCAAAAGCCACATAACGAGTATTATTAAGTTTTTATTAATCTAACCATTATAATTAAAAATATTAAAATGATATGTGAACGAATAGGGAGACTCAATGAAAGCTGTATGTCCTCCTTGAAAGTTTTTCTGAGGAAAAAAAATCATATATCACTTTAGATTATTAAATTTCTTTTTTATTTTTATCAGCCTTATTAAATACACCTCTTTTAATTAAACAATTTAATTTAATTAAAAAAATCTCTCCTTTTAATTTATTTTATTTTCCTTTTTTCTTTGCATTAGATAAGAGATTAAAATTACAAAAAATGCTTAAAATCCATATATAATTATTTTTATTTACTATTTTTAATCTCTCTCACGCACACACAGAAATCAGAACTCGCCTTATGCATCATGACCATTGGAGACCCAACTTGTTTTTTTTTTTTTTGGTGGGGTAATGAGGGACCCGACTTGCAATATAATTACAAAGAAGTTATATTAAGAGTGTGTGCGTGTGTATGATATCAATTTTTCCTTAATAAAAACATTTATCAGCGACTTACCGCAACAAAGCCGTAGTTTCCCCTTTGGGTGACAAAATATACTGCTTTCTTAAAGGCCGAATTAGAAGGAAATAGTTAAAAACCTTAAGCCTAAAATCTCAAGCCACGCAAATTGAAATTGAATAAAATGAATGTCCAATTGGTCATATCACAATTATCAAATGGCTTTCAACAACAACTCCCTTGACAGATGTATGCATGCGTGTGTGCATGTGAAAGAAATTGAATTGTGTTTAATCGGATGCGAAGAATAAATATTTTTTATGTATTTCTTAATTTGGTATATTTAAAAACAACAAAGTTAAAATACCATTCAAATTAAATTGAACGAGATGTCAAATTAAATGTGCCTGCAGGTAGTCCACCAATTCAGACTTTGACATTTCTCAATAAACTGGTTCCTAGCTTCCTGAGTTAGTGCAATTTAATTGCTTGTTCTGATGAGTGCAGAAACAGAACCAAAGCATAGAGGAAAGCAAGATGCTTGCATGTTCCACGACTCAGAGACACAATAATCTACATATCAGATTCCATTTTGGTTTCTATTTCTCCATCACCGAGTCACCAAATCAGTTTCTTCGCTTTCACACCTAATCAAGTCCAACGATATTGACATATTGGTGTCATTTCTCATCCATTCACTCCGTTTGCTAAGTGATGTGAAACTAGGATATTATTCAAATGATGTGTAGAATGATGAGGCTTATACTAGGTCTTTGCAAAGAACGGAGAGACTTTTTTTCTTTATTATTTATGACATTAAAAATTTAAAGGCTGAAACTGATTTATTATTTATCGCATGTATTATGTAAGATTTGAACGTGTCAAATACAATAATTTATGAAAAAGAAACTAAGTCTGAACAAGGGAATATTTGTGTAAGTGCATATGGGCTTTTTTCCCCCGACCGGGCGGGTTTGGAATTAGATACTAAGGCGAAGAATGATGCAATTTATGAAATTTTCATTTTTTTTTTCAAATTTCATTCTTTCACAAGATCAGTTTATATAGTTTTGTTATAAAAATGGAAAATTAGATAGAGGGATCTAATACTACCAAAATTTATTATAAAAGATCATAAAAATTAAAATTAGGCTAAAGAGCGGAGATAAGTGCAATTGATTATTATAGTTTTAATATAAAAACTGTTAATAATACCTTAAAATTAATGCAGAGTAATGCATAAGTTACAAAAAATTCTTTTTCAAAAAATAAAGTTGTGTACTTGCAGATTTCAATTCCACACGTATAAAAACACAAAATGTAGTATTAAATTCAATTAAGTCAATATATTTTAAAGAATAATTAATTTTTAAATAATCAATTGAATATAATTTTAAAATCGTTACTTTAAAAAAAAGTAAAATAATAAATATTTATTTGTTTATTTATCACTACCAGTAACTATCAAATTCAATTTGAAATATGGTTAGAGAAAATATAGGAAATTTGATTTGGGGCAATTTGTATTTTAAAATTTATATTTTGATATATGGTCCTTCTAAATAATTATTATTTTTAAAATTATTTCTAATAAATATTATTTTCTCCTGGTCCTTAACAATAATTTTCCCTTATAAAAAAAAATTATATATACGCACTTTTATTTTGCGCACTGAAACAATTAACAAAAGCATAAACTCTCCTTGATTTTTCTCATACTTAATTATCCCCACTCGGTTACCTGAAACTTCCCAAATCCTAACCATCTGCCTGTCTGAAGTCTAACCTGATTCCACATAGGAAGGAGTCAGTGACGTCTCCGAAGGATCCTGCTAATGTGGACGCAGTTTTTGATTAAACGTCCACGAGGTCAAAAAGTTTGGGAAAATATATATTAAAAAATGACTAATCATACTGATGAATACTGTGCCTTTTTTATTAAAGACAGGGAGACCCAACAGTGTCAATTTATTTTCCAAACGACTTAAACCTTTGTTTCGCAAGCGACCAATCCCGATCCTTTCTCACAACACTTTGCACTCCGAATAGCCCACACAGAAAAAGAAACCACCAAAAGTAAAGTTAACAGTGCTTTTTCTCGTTCAAAATTATACAACCATGTCTTATTGATTGTACGTTTGGGGAATTTTCCATGAACTGAGAGAACTGACAGATACCCAAATATCTTGCAGCGTGTCTCCGATCTTATCGTTAGCTAGGGCTTCAGTATTATTGAGTGGATCCAAGAGGTTCTAATAAATATACAGGTGCTGCCTTGATCTTTGTTTAGATATTTCCATATTTGTAGTCATAGGCTTGATCTGAGAGAACCAAATAAGTTTGGTAACTTGTATAGGTGAAGATGAGAAGCCCTTACTATGACAAAAATGGAGTGAAGAGAGGTGCGTGGAGTAAGGAGGAGGATGAAAAGTTAAGGGCATTTATTGAGAGATACGGCCACAGCAATTGGCGTCAACTTCCCAAACACGCAGGTATATATATCCACATACCCGAACTTATTGCGTCCAGCAAACTCGAACCAAATTTTGATCGTGCGTACTCGATCGGTGATCGATGCTCATGATTACTTCCTGTAATTCTCACTTGAATATTGTAGTTGTTATATATCTATCGTCACTCAACTTAATTAGCTTTAGTTGGGATGGATCTTGATGGGGTTTGACCTGCAATTACGTAATAAGTACAGGTTTATCAAGGTGTGGAAAGAGTTGCCGACTTCGCTGGCTAAATTACTTGCGCCCGGAGGTAAAGCGTGGAAATTACACCCCAGAAGAGGACGAACTCATCATCAAATTACATGAACAACATGGAAATAAGTAAGCATGCGTAACATTCAAGTTTAATAAGTTTCACAAGTCTGTAAATATGTATCTATATGACTCGTTTTCATTTCCCCTAATTTGGCTACGAAAACCTGGGAAAGTTAAAGGATGAAGAGGTTTTGATTTTAACTTGAAAATGCTTCTTTAAAGTGTGAAAGTTTAAGTATTGTATGATCTAATTTTAATCTGTACTTTCTTAAATTTCTTGATATTATGATTCCATCATGGGGATTAAAAGAGTCGCGAAAAGGAAAATGCAGTCTTGAATTATATTATAGGTGAAAAAGTTAATTGTCCCCAATTAAAGCTCGAGTTCTTTAAACATCAAGCAAACTTCAGATGACTGCATATGTGTACCTATATAACATATATAATATTTGTCGTTGTAGATGGTCTTTGATTGCCAAAAGATTACCAGGGAGAAGTGACAACGAGATTAAGAACCATTGGCATAGCCACCTAAAGAAGCACGTGGAGTGCAGTCATGGGGGGATATCTGAGATCAAAACGAAGCCAAGTGGTACTTGTAGGGGAGAAACAGCAAAGTATTTCGAACCTGAAAACCCTTTGCTTGGTTTTGCTGCTGCTTCCTCCTCAAGCAATATTTCAGAAAGCTCACCACCCATCTGCAATTCATCTTCAGCCTTCACCTTCGGAGAAGAAAGCGTTGCTAATGGTGCATGGGAAATATTTGAACAGTTCGACGATTTTTGGACCCAACCATTTATGCCGGAAAATACATCTGACCAGGATCATTATCCAAGTCTAAACTATGCAGCAAATGCAGCAGACTTGGACGAATATTCCTCATACCTCTTTGATAATGCCGAGTTTTTGTGCCAAGGGTTGCAAGAATTTCCAGAAGATCCTAAAAACGTATAAGCAAATGGTAATAATTCTTCAATGCGTTTGCTGAAAATGGCTAGCTATGGATGGTTGGACGAATGTCAGAAAATCACCTAATTATAAGTTCCTTTTCATTTTCTTCCCTTCCAGATTTGCAATTTCGTCAGCCCACTGAATTTCTCTGCGCGCGCCTTGCTCTTGCAAGTATATATCTGTAGCTGTCACTCCCTATCATATTGTTTATGCTTTCTATTATTGAAGGTCGTGGAGACTTGCTTCTATGTATAAAACCGAAGTTTGTGAATCCGTATAAGAGTCAAAAAAAAAAAAATCGTGTGCTTTTGATCATGCGTACATGTTATATATATATATATATATATATAAGTTAGTAGAATATTACTATCACATGAATTTATCACTAAAGTAATTGATGATGAGTATAAAAATTGCGCACCACAATCTGAATTCAGATCCCAAACAGGATTCTTGCTCTCCAAAGACACACACACACACACAGGTTTCTTTTTGCCAATAAAACACAGATTATTAGAAATTAAATTAAATTATCACTTAGGGCTTACTTTGATACGTAGGATGAAATAAGGATATATAGTGATTAAGTTTTCTTACTCTCTTTAAATAGAAATAATTTATCTAAACTAAAAAAATTGAAAGGAAAAAAATAGGTTGCCATTTTAGAATCGGAGAGCTGAAATTTGAGATCGTATATATGATTCTCCTCTTCGTTTATATGATCCCAATTACCCTACCTCTTCTTGATCTTATATATAATTAAAATTTAAATATATTATTTAACTACAAATACATATATCAAATAATGTATTCTTAAAAAGATATACATACAATCTTTTCATATTTATTCTAATTTAGTAGAGTGTTTTACTTTAAAGTAAATATAAAATAATTTACTCATTAGAGAAACTTTTGAAAAAATGAAATGATTATACCTCAAAATACTAAAATTTTTTATTAAAAGTAAATTTTATCTACAATTTTCAATCATCTTAAAAAATATTTTAATAAAAAATTAATTTTAACAATATAATTTTGTTAATATTTACTTTGAGAAATTTTGAATTTTTAATAAATACTAATAACTTTTACAATGTAAAATAATTACAATGATATCAAATATAATTAATATAGCTAACCTCTAATTATTCTCTAACTTATAACAACAAGGCAAATTTGAATAGTTTTTCATATTCTGCTAAGTAATCTTTATAAAAATATTATTAGTAACTTCTTTTTCCACAACAATGGAAATCTAAACACTAGGTAAAATCACAAGACATCATTGTCAAAAAATTCATTAAAGCTCAGCAGACAGAGTAGATATCATATGTATACCAGGTCAAGCATCAAGTGTACAATATATTAAATAGTTTATAATGCCATTTATATCTCACAACATCTATACTTTAACATCCCAATACCATTTATGTATTTGTATGTAACTAAGTATTTATATATAACTTAGCCTGATCATAATTGAAAGTAATCATCTATTAAGATTTTAATTATATCATATTAAAATATTATCTTAATTGTCCTTATTTATGTAAATTTCATAAAATTCATGTTTTCTTTTTTTCTTTTAATAATATAAAACTACTCTAAAAAATTTAAAATAATACTTTAAAGATATTACATATAAGAAAATGCTCCCGTGCAACACACGTGAGGTGAATGCTAGTTCTTAAAAAAGATGAGCCATATATATCTAAAAAATAATTAGTATAATACAAAATTAAAAAGCAATTTAATAATTAAACTTATATTCATTATTATTTCTTTTGTTTTTTATCCTATATATCATTTACTTCTCATTCAATATATAAAATAAGAAGTTTGATTTCATAAATATATTTTAAAATATTTTATTTAATTTTAATTTTTTAAAATAATTCATAAGAAAAAAATTGTAATAATAATTTTATAAATTGTTTCATATAATTTAAAATTATATTTATTTTTTTTAAAAGTACTTTTAGTAACAATTATATGCCACCACTAAAAGTTATTTTTTGGCCACGACAACAAAAATTCTCCACCAAAAGTGAATATTTAGTTGAGAAATTTAAAAGTTGCCACCCAAAATCAAGTTTTGCCACTGCTAAAAATTGTTGCAAAAGGTCATATTTTGTGCAGTGCTGTAATATTTGGCGAATATATTCTGGAACTGATCCATGAAGTGTTATGAAAAAGATGGACTTCATCAGGATGGGAGGGGGCAGCCAAAACTGAATCTGAAGAGGTCTGCTTTGCAACAGGAACTTAGCTGGAATGTTGGCTTGGGCGCAAGCAAAAATCGATTTACTTACCTGTCGTTTAAAGGCCGTGCACGTGACACGTTGACATTCATGTTGTGTCGGTCAAAAGAAACAACTTTCTTGGGGCTTTTCTCTAGAAGGGTAGACGAGTTCAATCGTTTTTCAGCAGGTAAAACCACGTGATGACTTGGCTTCTCTCAATTTTTGAATGCCCAAAACTAGCAGCCATAACAGTGGAAATATATGCGCGCCAGTATGACGCGGAGATCCACATCCAACAAAATATGTTTCTCCTACTTCAATATTACTGCAAATATGGATACGTTTGTCCCTTCCCAAATTTTGTTAGCACGTCTCTGTTTAATTTAATGTGAACATTTATCAGCAAACTCGAGACGTGTCATCCTATGTTGGACTTTGTTGGGAGAATGATGAGAAAAGGTTTATTAGGGTTTTGGACCCAGCAATACATTTTCTTGGTTCCTAGATCAGAGGGAAAACAAAAGGTAGCAGACAGAAGAGATTTAGTGTGTATTTAATTTTTAATTTGCATATGATAAAAGTATATTTAAAAAATTCAACTATTTATTAAATTTGGTAAAAACAAATTTTAAAGTGAGGTTTGAACGTGTTTTTTGAGGGGTAAGTGTTATGCATTGCTGGATGAGGCACGTCATGTGTGATGACGAGACATCGGACTCAAATTCCAAAAGGTGCAGATCCACCATAAGCCGTCACAAAAGGTAACATGACAAGTTCCAACAAGGAGATTCCAGGCAATTAAATCGAAACCGCTCCTTTCGGAAGCCGCAATACCTAGTGATGATCGTCAAATTAGGAGGCTGGTCCACGGCTCTATTCCTGTAATCAAAGACTCGGTGAATTTAATTATTTTTCAAATTATTCTCTTTTTTGTTTTCAAAAATAAAAAATAAAAATATTTTAAAGTTATTTTTACTTTATTTTTCTTGTTTCTAAAACACACTACATTTGATTATTGAAAAATATATATAACAACCATCACCATCAATTTATTTTTTAAATTTTAAAACTGATTTTAAATTAATATAGCCAAATAAATTTTTGTTTTGTTCTGTTTTAAAAAAATTTAAAAAATTGGATAAAACAAAAATGAAAATAAAAACCAAACATCTCCTTAGTGAAAGCGTTTGAAAATAAAATGCATATTTTGGAGTACGGACATTGAATATTTCAATCACACTCTCATTTTTATCATTAGACACTTCTAATTATTTTACCTGAATTGAGAAGAGTTAATTAAGTTATTAATTTCATCTAAAAATATAATAAATTAAAATTTTAATTTTAACCCTATTTATATGAAAAAATTTTAAGTTTACATTACATTATCATTATCTCTTTAACGAAAAGTCAAATATGGGAAATATAAAAAAATATAATTAATATCTCATTAAATATCAAAAAATTATATTAGAAAATAACTTATAATAGAAAATTGAGGGAGTATGGATAGATAGATGGAGATTAGCCTCGTAAAGAAAAGATATTTCTTTGAATGTTGGTTACAGTAGTTTTCTAGAAAGATTGTGAAGGTTTGCGTTGTTTAGGGATTCCTGGATTTGCTTTTCAAATCTGGAGATCTCGTCTCTTGGCATTATTGTCCATCTACTTTATCATGGTCCACAGAGTTATAAAATACATAAAGAAGGATTTCGCAGCGGCTTTGCCGAAAAGGAGCAGTGAGAAATTAGCTCTGTTTTTTCCTCGCAGAATGCTTTAATTAGACGATTTTCTATGTAGTTTAAGACCTATTCAATTGGCATGACTTGTTTGTGTCGGCTTTAATGAATGGAATTTTATCCCGCATAAGTGGAATTGAAAATAGTTCTGCTACATTATTCCATTGGTTATGCAGGCAGAGATTTGAATTAAAACAGAATTTTCATATTGATAAATCTAATTAACAACAAATAAACATGTAGAGTGTAGACATACTGCTTTTGGTGTCACATTGTGTGGTGATTATCTCATTTATGTGTCTTGTTTTTTGCGTGCTTTTCGTTTATTTATCACTATTTATTTGAACATTTAAGGATCTCTCGAGCATTCTCCTCCATATATAAATCATTGTAAGGGGGAGTGTATGTTTGTAAATCAATTTCCATGTAATATTCTTTTGATATAGATAGTAACCTATAAGAGAAATTATTTTCCCAATAGATATACTTATTTTAAAATATTAACCCATGAGCTTAATAAATATAAAAGCCAGCTGCTTGTTTACAGACTCCAACATGGCTGACTCATTTTCCATGCGTATGCGACTTGCTTCCCTTTCAATACCCTGTTAATTGTTATAAGATATTTTTAATATTTCATGTATTTTAAGAAACTATTGTTACATTATTAAATTTTTCAAAAATATTCAAATATCCTAATTTTTCCCAGTCAATGATATGGATGTAAAACCTCTATATGACTTGCAAGATCAGTCATTAAAATTCTGAGAGGCAAAAATGAAGAAAACCTATTCAATGCTTTTACAAAATATTTCATCCAACCCATTTCATAAGATTCTTTTTAGTGATATGACATTCCATAGTATAAATTGTTTTGAAAAAATAATTATTTATTAATCAAATTTGTTTTTAAAGTACTATTCATCACTTCACTCTTTAATTATCTTTGTTACTATTTGCCCCTTGTTAAACAAAGGATTTATAGTGTAAAGTGTTTTTAATTAATTTACTCAACCAATAA